AGCAATGACAGAATATTTTCAAAAAATATCTATAGTAGAAGTCACCTGGTAGGACGAAAGCATATCCAGCCATACTTTCAAGACGGAGAAATAATTAGAATCCCTGAAAATAGTGTGGATTCAATTTTATGCATTCAAGGGCAAAACAAGTATGTATTGAGCATGTGTACATTTGTAGTGCTCTATAAATCCATTTATCCACCTAGAGGAGAAAGCCAAGAATAGCTACAGAGTGATTTAACAGAGGTCAAGATAAATGTCAATGTACAAAGAAGAAGTTTCCCTGCATAATCCATATCAAATAAAAGTGAGTGGTACGTGTTTTTTTTTACTGAATTTTGATGCATTTATTCAATTACTTTGTTTTTAGGGGAAAAAGAAGGCATGATGGCTAAACAACAATATAGTAACTGGATGAACCATAAGCTAGAAAGGAGTAGTTAAATACTCCTAAAATGATTCATTGGTAAAGTTATAATGCTATGGTACAAGACAATATACTGGGAAAAGAAAATTAATCAGTTAAGTTATATATCTGAAAGTCTGAAATGGTGGCTTCTTTAATTAAAATAATAATTTATATTACTCTTTATTGCTGATCTTAGTTTGCCATTCACAATAGTACTTCTAAAAAATAATCTGAATGACATGTAAACACAAGATTGAAAGACAAAAATTATACGCCAAAATTAATTTTCTTTCAACTACTTACTCTTTCACTTCCTTGGAACCAAAGTCTAAATATCGGTTGCTGATCCACTGAATCTCAAACCAGTCTCTGTAACCATTATTTCCACAACATTTGAACTCAATCTGGAGCATATCAATTGTCTTCTTCATGAAGCACCTTCCTGGAGTATCTGTGTCACGGTAGAATTTCAAACTATTTTTTAACCCTTCTGCCAGTGTATTGTCAAGAGAACCCCTCATCAGAAAGCAAATAAAAGCAATTAAAAAAATGAAGACATTAAAAATTACACATATGATTAAATAGAATTTCAAGAAAAATTTCCATTTTTCAAATTTAGCAGGATCCAGGGAATCGTAGCATATCTTGCCAGCAAGAGCGTTGGATGCACAGGCAAGTAGACCTACCAATATTAAAGAGTTGGGCACAAAGTGGCTTTCAGAATTGTCCATCATTTCACTTCGCTTCCTGAGTTCAATTTTCAGGAAAAGTCCCATAGAAAAAACAACAATTCCAGCAAACACTGAAAACCAATTCATGAGCCATAATCCTTGTGCTAGTTTTACTCTTTTCTTCTGGTTAAACTTGATTTTCATCACTGCCATCTTTTTCACAACGCTGGTGGTACCAAGCTTTTCCTCAAACCACCCCTTCTTTGAAAAGGGTTAAGAGTAGAATTGGAAAGATACGCCACCACTCAGGCCTTGAAGATTCAAAGGGGCATCCCTCTGGTTGGGACATTATTTAGTTCTTCCATCTTCCTCAGCCCAAAATTGAAGAAGTGCAGATACATTTTTCAAATCAGCAAGATTTGTTTTTGTAAAAATCACATTAATAAAAGATTATTGATAAATAAGATATGCAACTATTTGTGGTCGTCCCTTCTATACAAAGGAGAAACTGTTTCAATTTCAAATAATTAAAGCTGGATCTCTACTACGTCATTCCAATACTAATTAGTGTAATCCAATTTAAGAAATCTCTGTCCACCGATAAGACAAGAAAATAATCCTTTCATTTTACTATTCAGTGGGTTTGTGCTTTCACATGATATAACTGAAAACAAAGATATAAAAAGTTTCCCTGTTCCTAGATTTCCTTCTCCTCAGGAAATTAGTTTTGAAACCTATATCAGATGCTTTTCATACACTGACCTACAAATAAGCCAGTGAATGATACTACTTATCCTTATGTCACTCACCTTGAATGACATGCTCTGGGACTTAGGCATTTTGGGGATGGAATTAGGTCATGTTTTCAATGATTTTCAATCTAAGCATTTTAAAGATAAAAAGTAGAATTACCAGCTTAATTGTGACAATCTTACTAAATCATCACAGAAGCTATGTCAAACTGCCAAGACATTTGAGCCCAAAATAGAGCAGTTTACAGATTAATCACAAACAGCCAACGATGGTCTTGCTGAGAAAGGAACTTCATGTACAATGGAAAAGGGCGCAATTATCTCACTGTTAAGGGGAATCTAACTCCATAGTTGCTATTTAAGTTAGAAAAGAGTCTTTTATTGTGCTAGAAAATGTTAGTAGGGCATTCTAATGGAACTAACAGTCCTGTATGACAAGAGGTGAGCCAGCGTGGTATTGGAACGGCAATGAGGAGACCCAAGTTCAAGCCCACAATTAGTCATTGGACTTAAGTGGTTTTGGAGCAATCACTTTCTCAGTCCAATCAACTTCACCAAGTTGTTGGAGGAAAAAGGGGGTAAAAGAGTGCTGCTATTTTGAGCTGATGGACAAATGGTGGAATAGAATTCTAATAATAGATGTTGTAAATTTGTGGACCTGTATGGACTATGTTTAGCTCTTATTGAATATTAGCACTAGGGACATGCTTGGTTCATTTTTAAATGTGAGCTGTGCAGAGATTGTAAACAACCTATTGTGTCTTCCACGAACGTGTTCATCTTGTCCTTATTTTTGCAATAATGAACTACTTATCACCAAGATACTTAAAATCTTTGCAATATACCCAAGTATACTTAACATACACAAAATTAAAGAGAAGATGAAAGTCTCACTTTAAACAACAAATACCTAATCTTTGTGAAATGAGTTACTGAAAAATGAATCTTGCATTATTTGATCTGAATCTTCCCAGAAAGATGATAAAAATATAAGCTTAGAGGAATAGATACGCATCACCAAAAGGTAACACATAATATTGTTGGGCTAGGCACACTTCATACAACCAAGTACTCTACTGTTAAATTGTGTGTAAAAAAATTAAGGAAAACAGGATAACATAGATTTTTCTCAGAAAATATTGCAATTGCAGCATTTCATGTTAAAAATGCAAAGAAACTGGAGCAGAAACCCGATTATGTTACAAAGCAACCCATATTGATAGATTTCCATAATAAGATGTCATGGTGGTTGATGAAATATCATAGTGAGTAGATCTAAGTTTGTTTTTTTTCTTGTTCAATTGTATCCAATTTTTGGATACTGCCTAGACAATTTCCTGTAGTTTTCTTAGCAAAGTTTTTCAGAAGGCTGAAGATGACTGGCCCCAGCTTATCCAGCTGGTTTCATCCTAAAATGGGTGCAGAACTCAATGTCCCATTTTCTAGCCTGATGCCTCAATCGCTACACCAAACTGGCGCTAACAACTCAGTAGAAGCCATTTTAGAATAAATATACCCATCTTCTAACTTGAAGAGTATCAGTCCCTCTATCTTTCTTTCAGCTTTGCTCCTATTGTGTACATTAGGTTTCCTTCACTGCGACCGCATCACATGCTACTGCAAGTAGTCCTTGCCTTATGACTGTAATTGAGCCTGGAATTATGGCAATAAGTTGTGGCAATCATTAAGCAGGTCATCATGTGCTGCACCTGTTTTTACTTTTGTGGCAATTGTTAAGTGAACACTATGGTCATTAAACCAATCCTTTTCCCCCCAATGACTGTTTTTCTGGAAAAGGAAGTAAATACTGGAAACTAGCAAAAAAACACTGAAAATTGCAGTGATCATGGAATGCTGTAGTCCTAAATGTGAGCTGGTTACCAAGCACCCAATATGCAATCAAGTAAGTGAAAGAATGCAGACATCAGATCTTCAAAACCAAGTTGCAAGTAGTACTGGGGAGATACATCATAACTCTGAATGGGTTGCTAGATGACAGGTCATTGAGGACTACCTGTATTTAGTTACATTTTGCAAAATATAACTTTTCTTTTAAAAGGTAAAATAGCAGCCAGGCTTTGTTCATCAAAACAATCACCTCAATCTTTAAGGACAGAGGTATAAGATTCCTATTTCCTCCGAGAAGTTTGTAGTTTTCCTTTAATAAAATCACAATGGGGCTATTTTAAAAAAAGCACTGAAAATTGATTATTTTTGGAACACAAGAAATAGGAAGCTTAACTGAAGTCCTCAGCTTACAACCGGCAATTTAACAACTGTTCAGTTACAATAGCCACGTAAAACACTTCTGGGTGTCATGAAACGTTACTCCGCCCTCCCTCTAGCTCACATGACCGCATTTCAGGAGTTTGGCAACCTGTTCACATTTATGAGTTGCCAAGTAGCCTGACCATGCAATTGCCATTTAAGATTTCTGGGAACAGAGGAGACAACGGATTTAGACTTCTTCCTTCAGGGTGCGGAGGGGTTTCCTTTCTGCTCAGTGCAGGGAGGGGAACTTCAAATCTGACAAAACATTAACACAGCTGATATTCTAAAAGGCTCTGAGCAGATGCCACCTTGACTAGTATTTTCTCCTATGGAGAGGAGGATATTGGTGAAAGAAGTAGATTCTGGAGGAGAAAACGCTAAAGGCTCCATGTCTCAGCATTCTGAAATACTGAGATTCAGAGCCTTTCAGAATGCTGGATTTGCATTTTCTTTTCTGAAGCAAAAACTGCTATCACTCTCATGATGGTTTGGAGAAGCCTTCTGAGCCATCACAAGAATGGAACTCATGTGCAGGATGGAGTGAAGTGATGGAAAGATAAGTGGACCAGTATGGTAAGGCAGGGATAGGGTCTGTGTGCTGGTGGCCTAGTCAATGCCTCCCAACCCTAGGCAGGTTTCCAGATGCTGGTGGGTACTGGGCCTCCCAGTGATTCCCTCACCCTGAGCCCCCCCACACAATTGTTTAATGAGTGCAATGGGGAGAGTTTGGATTGTGATTGCTGAGCAAGGTGGTCACAGGGGCACTTTGCTTAATGACAGCAATCATATACAACCAAAATTCTGGGCACAACTGTGGTTCTAAGTCGAGGACTATCTCTATAACTTCAAGACATCAGTTACCCTCTTTATTAGACACAAAAATGCAGACAACTATAGTACGGCAACTGAATTTTAATCTATCGAGGAACATATTCAACACTTCTTTCCAAATGGTCAAACTGTTAAGACTCTTGTGGCTATTTTCATGAGTACTGAGACAGATAAAAACAATATCTGAAGCAGCCCTACAAAGCTTGCCAACAATACAATTGCTTTGGTATTTCAAAGGCGAAGGTTTTATATGAACTCTTGTGCAATGTTCAGCACTTCTTGCAGAAGCTTTGAACAGTTCTATCTTTAGAATACTTTGCAGGTTCTATATATTTTGATTTACTTTAGTATAATATTAAGAAAAAATAATGGATGCAGTAACAAAATTGTTGATAAACAACAGTCAAAATAACTGAGAAATTTTCAATCAAGGTATTGTAAAAATAAAGTGGAAATAAAACAAAAATCTTAAAAAAGTTCAGATTGTGAAATATTTCTGAAATGTACATAAAGTTATATTAAATGTTACATCATATTATTGTGAAAATAAATATTGTAGTTTATTAATTTCAGAAGGACACTTAAGCAAGTGTCCTTCCACTTAAAGTGCTTATCTATGGTAAGATAATTCCCAGGGCCTGTATATTTTTTGGGTGTGTCCTTTTAGATATGTTATCTTTAGAATTTTTACAGGCACACAAAAGTGCACATGCCCTTTGGAATCCAAAATTAAGCATTTTTGGAAACTCAACAATCTGCGTGATGTTTTGTAAAAGTGAACTAATGCTAACTGACATAGTTTCTGAATAACCTTCAAAATGCTTTGTAAATTTTGTAGAATTCTCTGGCTTGGTACTAGTAGTACTGGTACCAAGTAGTACCAGTACTAGTACTAGTAGTACTTGGTACTACTCAGTACTTGGTACTGAAGATGCATCCTAGAAAGAATTTTGCTTCCAATACAAAGCATAATTTAAACTATTTTAACAAATGAAAATGCTAATAGTGGTTCTGAAACCATGCTTCTCTAAATTATTTCTTATATAGCTGTCAAAAAAATATGCAGTACCTTTACCATTCCTAAATTTAAATACCTCCTATCACTCTTCAGGAAAACAATCTTTTTAATCCACATATATCACAAACACATCTCAGAGATAAAAATAGCCAATGTCTAAATTAATAGTAATTTTATTCAGCATTTAAGTGAGCAAGTTACTAACTGGGTAACATTTTAGAAGAAGTTAAAATCTTCAGCCCCAGCAGTTTTCTTCCTAAGAGGACAAAAACATAATTTTACAGATACAATTGCAGATCTGTAGAAAGAACCCCAGCACACACAACACTAAACCTTAGTAGTACCAGGACACATAATCAGATAGCAGGTAAACAGTGAAGGCTATCAGGACAAGTATTTTGGCAACCCAGTCATACTCCTTAAAGAGATTCCAAACGTCATTCAGGACTATTTAGTGCAGCTTTAATTCTGCCTTTCCAAAAGTCATCCCTCTTTTTCAAGAGGGCTGTTTTGAAAGTCCTCTACAAACGCAAGGCTGTTAATTCCAATCCGTGATCCGCTCCTTTTCCGGGATCACGCACCAATTCGGGGAGGCCTGATCCTTGGCCAGCCAATTAAAGTCGTCCACCAGATCCCAGTTGTTCTTGCTTCTGTCAAGCCCAGCGGTCTTGAAATCGGCCTCCATGCCCGGGTAATCCCACGAGTAGGGGGCGAAGCGGACGGCGCTGCAGTCCTCCAGCATCGCTCGGCTAGTCACTTGCACGTAGAAGGTCATCTCCGTAACGCGGTGGGTCCGGAGCTGCTGGCAGGCGAGGGCCACGAGGCAACCGCTACACCCATCCACCCGCGCCGAGGTCGAGACGGGTCCGCAGAGGACCGTGCAGTCGTGACAGTCGAGCATCAGCAGCGTGTTGGGGTTGCCGCGTAACAGCACCCGGCAGCGCCTGAGCTGGGACAGCACCACGTCCTGCTGCAGCAGGTCGCTCGGGCCGAGCTCGAGGGTTCGTCCCTCGGCCCGGCTGAAGCCGCAACTTGGGTTCAGCGGCGCGGAGGTTGCCGCTTCCTTCTGGTCTTTGGCGGAGCTTTCCGAGGGAGGATGCTGAGCGGGAGGCTTGGACGGAGCCGAGGCCGGGTCCTTTTTGAGGGCTTTGGTAAAGGCGAACCGCTTCTTCGGCTTCAGCTGGAGGCGCCTCTCCGACAGCTCGCCCTGCAGCTTGCTCAGCGCCGCCTGGGCCTGCCGCACCTCATACGGAGCCAAGAAACGCACCGAATCCGTCAGCAGCCGCTGCAGATCCTGCAACCGCCGAGCCGCCTCGGACACGGCTTCGGCATCCGCTTCGGCATCCTGAGCCGGCTCCGACCGCAGCAGCGCTTCGATGGTCTCCCGCTCGCGGGCAAAGGAGGCGGTGAAAAAATCGCTCTGCTCTTCCAACACCGACTGCGCCTCCCGTTCTCGCCGCCTCTTCTCCGCCTCCTCTCGCCGTTCCGCTTCTCGCTGATGCAGCCTGTCGGGAACCAGGGCGGAGAGGCCGGCAGCGAGAGGCACCCGATCGCCCTCCACCGGCGCCGCGCCCTCCGAAAAAGCCTCCATCTTTCTCTCTCTCTCTGCAGCGGCTTCAATCACCTCGTACTAAGACGGAGACCGATTGGCTCCTTCCCTGACCCCCGCCTAGGATTTGTGAAGTGACTTCCCGGAGGACGTGGGCGTGTCTTATCCACCTTTTAAAGGGCCCCTAATTCAAAGGCTGGCGAGAAAATTGTGTAACGCGGGGCCTGTTTTTCTTTAAGAGGCAATGTGAGCATCAATGAGAGCAACCAACCGTCTTTTAGGTGAAAGGTAGCGCGGTAAATTTGAACTAAATAAATAAATAAACTCAGTTTTCGTCCAAATAGCTAACGATTCCGTCTTCCTACTGACGTGCAGAGAACGAGTTTTCTGATATAAATTGCAAAACAGTAGTTTAGATGTAGAGGTACTCCTCTACGTATGACCACAATTGAGCCCAAAATTTCTGTTGAGACATTTGTTAAGCGAGTTTTGCCCCATTTTACAACCTTTCTTGCCACAGTTGTTAAGTGGATCACTGCAGTTTTTTAGTAACCCGGTTGTTGAGAATCTGATTTCCCCATTGACTTTGCTTGTCAGAAGATCACAAAAGATGATCCCATGATCTTGGGACACAGCAATGGTCATAAATGATTCAGGCGCCAAGTGTCCAAATTTTGATCATGTGACCATGGGGATGCTGCAAAGGTCATAACTCTGAAAAATGGTTGTAAGTCCCTTTTTTCAGTGCATTGTAACTTTGAATGGTCACTAAATGAACTGTTGTAAGTCAAGGACTACCTATGCATGTATATCACATACCCAGCAGGTTCCATTTTTTGGGTAAGCAACATGCAAATTGTGAAAAGGACTAAGATACAGCAAGCCAAAAATATTCAAGGCAGGGCTTCCGAGAAAGGAACTAGAACTATAAGTGTAATTTCCACCACCAATATTTATTACACTTTCTCTCCATACCTTTCTATCTTGACAAGCAATCCTTGCTTTCACCACATTCACACACTAACTCTTACAAATTTTCCACTTTTTTCTTTTTGAGAATGGTATGGACTTAGAAGAAATATATGTTGTTTTCATCCAGGTTTTTGTTGGACTTCTAGAATTGGAGAAAAATGCAGATTTGGAATGCAGTTGGGTTCTATCAACAATATGCGAAAATTGTTCTGGAAAAGCTTGGATCATTGCTGCCACTCATTGCAGAATTCTGATCTACCATAGAAATCCATTTTAATGCAAAGCTTCGCTTATTCATTCCATACTGGCTTTGCCAGCCTTGAAAATTCTGCATGTTTGGTATAGAAATTATATATATAGAATTATATATGATAGGCTCACATTTTTGGAGTTAATCTGAAATATTTTTGCTATTCTAGTTTCTTTAATTTATAAATTTGTATTTATGCAGGTATGTTGCTGGTTGTCTATCCCTGGATTATTTAATCAAGGTCTTATTAAAATTGGAGGAAGAAGTGCTTCAGACCCTGGTGGAAAAGTGTGATATAAATATCATAAACAGAAATTAAATAAAAATATTAACTATTAAGTATTCTGTTTGAATGATTCAGAGTGATTTTCAGTTGCTACTTTGGAAAAACTCACAAAAAACAAAAAGTGGAATTGCTTTTTTTTTGCTTCAGATGAGCAAAAATAGATACCATTTGCATACTAATACAGATACCATTTGCATACTAATAAATATTTGAATCAAATTTGCCTTTTTATCTACCTGACCCCCTTGTTAAACTGGCTTATTGAATCAGCTGCAAGTAGCGAGGTTCAGAAAATATGTTAAGCCATGGCTTAATAAATTACATGTATCCAGCTACTGTATACATTAGTTGCCAAATTAAAGTGTAGATCTTTTTGGTTAAAAAAAAAGCAAAAGCTGGAGATCATGGCAATGGTAACAGCTATGCATATTTCTCCGCCTTCTGAAACTTTAGTCTGATGCCAATCACTCAAGCTGATGGTCCCAACTTATCCCTCCAAGACTTTCCAAAAGAATTGTTTTTAACAGTTTGTAGAATCCAAGTACAATTGGGGGAGGAGGGCTTTTCCAAAGTATAGGCAGTTAGAGAAAATATACCTATAAACCTCCAACTTTTACTTCACAAAAGTGGACAATCATAAGCAAGTTCCCCCAAAGTATTCAAGATAGGAGGGTAGAAACTAGGCAGAGAAAGTGGTCTGAAATGTATGTACTCTGGTGTCAAAACATGTAGGCTTTAATTGTAAAACTAGAATCTTGATTTACAACCAGAAGCCAATAGGAAACCAGTGCAGGGCTAAAGCACAAATGTAATGTACACACATCAGCACATTGCAGTAGTCCCAATGAGAGGTAACAAGACTTGAGTTAATAATTACTATTAGAAGGATTTTATACAATATTAAATGTGATTCTTTGATTTCAAATTATGTAACATTGTGAATGCTTTTGAAAAAATCTTAGTGGTGAAAATGGGTTTGCTTTATTTGTGATGCAAATATGCTGTCCTTGGTTCCAAAGTTTCTTTGATATCTCTTTGAGCAAAAAATAGAGAAAGTAGTTTTGAACAAGGATTAGCTGAAGGTACAGGCAGAGAATGGCCTGCGCACCATTGTTTTTCTATGTGAAAAGTTACTTCCTGAAAAATTTTCTTAACAGCAGTATTTATTTTTTTCCTAACAGATAATATGAAAGAATGAGAAAAATGACGAGAGAAGCAAACTTTTGCTTATGAGGTAAGATTTTATAATCATAAAGGAAATAAAATAATCCCAAATGTCTACATTCTTTTAATCAATTTCTCTTCTAAACCGTTCAATGCATATATGAAAATTGCATTCTGTTCTTATTACTATAAAATAAAGGTACATTGTATTCCACAGAAGTCCTTTGGGTCTGCCTATTTTTTTAGCTTGGACTTGCTTCATTAATTTCTCTATTATGACATTTGTCCACAAGATAATTCCTCATAAGCACAACATAAATCTATGCATCTCTTTCATCCTTGAGCGAGCAAAACAATGATGATGTTATCCATTCAGTCGAGTCCTGCTCTTGGCAATTCTATGGCCAGGTGTCTCCACATCTTCCGCTCTTGCGTTAGCAAAACAATATATCAACATAAATTGCACTGTCCCAGGCCCGAGAGAGAGCTAATTTGGTCTAGTGGTTAAGGAACAGGCTAGAAACTGGGACAGCATGAATTCTAGTCCTGCCTTAGCCATGAAAGACAGCTGGGTGACTCTGGGCCAGTGACTCTCTCAACCCGACTCATCTTACTGGATTGTTGCTGTAGGAAAAATAGGAGGAAGAAAGAATTTTAGATATGTTTGCCGCCTTGAGTTATTTATAAAAAAATCAAGGCGGGATATAAACAAACAAGCAAATAAATGAGTCAGAGATTCATGGTGCCAACCCTCATGCTTCATGAGGGACAGTTTCAAGGCAAGCTTCATGGACTCCCTGGCATCTTTACATCCCTATCCAGCATCACCCATGAGTAGAGAAAAAACTGATTATTCTTCCTTCATAACCTCACAGCAATCTTGGAGAACTTAAATGCTCCTTTCATCTTTATCTTCTGGGTATTCAACCCTTTCTCTCTCTCTCTGTTATGTGCCATAGGACTATCAATCTGTAAAAAAACCCTAACCTACAAACTGCCCAGTGATCACATGCACATTGGTACCATCCCCTCTATCAGACTTTCCTCCTAGTAAACAGGAGAGTATTCATTTAATAAACAAACTCCTCAGAACCTTGTTAAATAATCTATATGCTATTAAAACTCTGTTACCTTTAACTGGTGGAAATGGTGTATCACAAGGCAAAATCTTTTCAGCCAAGGTACTTCAAATAAACTAACTTACAGAATGCTAGGACCCATTGCTTCCTAGGAAAATAAATTTGGAAAAGTTGTGGCTGCTTTACCACTGCTGGGCTGTTGCTGCTTCAGCCCTGCCACTGCCATGCTGCTGTAGTCACATGATCCTCATTTTCAACATTCCTGAACAAATTCCTGGCCTTTCCTGCAATCCCCTGTTCCCTCCCCCACCAACCAGCAGCTCTCTGCTGGGAAGGGAAGGAAGGATAAAGGGAGAAATGAAGAAATGGAAGGAAGAGAGAGGGATGAAAGAAAGATGAAAGGAAAAAGGGGAGAAGGGGAAGGGAGGAAGCAGCAAAACAAAGAGGGAAAGCAAGCAAGATAGGAAGGAACAAAGGAAAGGGGAGGTAGGTAGGAAAGAGGTGGGAGAACCTGAAGAAGCCAAATTCTTCCCCTCTTCAATGTCCACTTTTCACTAGTTATACATAAAATTATGATTTGACATTCCATAGGCTTGGTAATCCATCAGCCATAAATCCTTGAGCTATTATTATTATTATTATTACTTTAAAGTCTTTCAGTTTAGAAAATAATATACTTCTGTAAACAATATGGTAAGAAGGGGAAGTATGTCTTAATTAAACCTGTTTCCCCCAGCATCCCATTCCTAGAAGTTAAGCATAAAAGTTCTAGATGAACATAAAAGTTCATCTAGACCAGGGGTGTCAAACTCAAGCCCCACGGGCCTGAGGGGTCCTTAAATCTGGCCCGTGGGGCCAGCCTGGAAATATTAAAGGACTGGCCTGCAGTCCATTTAATCTACAATCAACGATCTATAATTGACAGCCATTTCTATTTACTATCTTGGAAATTTACCTCTACTGTAAGTTCTTGTATTATCATGTTGTTTATGCTATTGTATTTTTATTATTAGTTGAATAATAAAAATACAATAGTATAAATAGCTTTTCTGCCAGGAAAAGCAATTTACTATTAAACAATGGGGTATAAATTTAGAAATAAAAAGTTTAGTGGAGTATGAATAATAAGTAATAAATGTTTGCCCATAATATCTGATAGAAGAGATACGAAAATGGTTATAGTAAAGAACTGCGGAAAGAAAGAATGGAAAAAAACACATCTTGAGCCTGTGTCAAACGCCCACCATGGACATGCCCACCCAGCCACACCCACCATGGACACGCCCAGCACCGGCCACACAGACACACATGGCCTCTGAGGTCAAACACAATCCTGATGTGGCCCTCAATGAAATCAAGTTTGACGTCCCTGATCTAGACAGCAATCCAGATACAATTAATAGAGTTGGAAGGTCTTCTAGTCCAACCCTCTGTTAAGGCAGGAGACCTTATGCCATTCCAGACAAATGGCTGTCCAGTCTCTTCTTAAAAGCTTCCAGTGATGGAGCACCCACAACTTCTGAATACAAGTCATTCCACTGGTTAATTGTTCTCACTGTTAGGAAATTTCTCCTTAACTCTAGGTTGCTTCTCTCTTTGATTAGTTTCCATTGTTTCTTGTCTTGCCTTTTAGTGCTCTGGAGAATAGGTTGACCCTCTCTTCTTCGTGGCAGCCCCTCAAATTAGGAGATTTTTATTTCAGATCCTTCAGATCAGCTTACAATTGAATTTATATATACTGGATTTGAAAGAGAGGGAGGGAAATGAAACATTTACTTTTTTCTTTCCTTATCTTTCTGGATATTTTTCACTGAAGTAAATGGCTTAAATTCATAGTTAGCTGCCAATTCAGAACCTCAGTTCTAGACAATAATGTATAAGGCAAGAAGAAAGCATTGGAGAGAATTCCATTTTACCCTGCACAAATTTCCTGAAATAGCAGGAAAAAATAGTACCTTTTCAGCATAATAAAAACTAGCTATTCCCTAGTAGGACATTTCCATGCTATAGTTTTCCTACCTCCCTGTCTCTCATAAAGCAATTTAAAATTGACTGGCAATTACATTGACCTTGAAATGTAAAGACAACATAATCCAATCAGTGCTCTGTTTCACCTCTTCCCCTTCCGGCTGATTAATGGAAGAATGCAAAGAAAATAAAATCTGTGCCTAGTGCTTAAGTTACCACATGTCATGGAGTAAAATCACTCCCAATCACAATGAAATGAAATACATTTCTAATGTCTCTCACCTATATTTTTCAATACGTTTTGGGGTAGATTTACTTGATTGTTTAAAAGAAAACCCGAGAATCTGGGAATGAAGTTAAAAAGCTATGTGAGAAATCGCAATTACTGAGAATGTAAACAAACAAACAAACAAACAAACACAATGACATAATTCTGCAGGTTTCTATTCTAAAGTGTAAAATTCTGCTTGCAAGATCTTTTTTCCCAGAATTCCCCAATCAGAAATAATTATAGTATGTTGCCACTATAACCTGCTATCCTCTAGGTTGTCTGGGTGAGGAGTTCTTAAATGTTCTATCTAGGACTCATTTTGTCCCAGTTCCAGGTAATTTCTTATTACTTCTTTGAATAGATTCTTGGGATTCAGCACATATTTATTTAAAATGGAGAAAGATTATCTGGGCATTCTGTTTGGATGTCCATAAGCAAGCCTCCCCCCCCCCCAAAGATTCACAGAATAGGACTCTGACTTGCTTTGCCCAAAATAAACTTCCATCTATGACGTCTGAGATTTAGCTAACAAATTAGATATTATCCATTACCAACTGGTTCTTGGTGGAACTAAAGGTCCAATCTGGCTTTCTTCAGTTCTTCCTTTGAATTGCATAGGAGAAACTCTTTTTGGGAAACAAAAGTAGAGGTCAGTTAATAAAGTGCTTTAGAGTACATTGAAGTGCATACCAAAAGCAGAGTTTTGTCTCAATTACTCCGATGCCTTGTCACCATTCTGCTATTACATCTAAAAGGCCCTATAACCATGATGGTTCGCCAGAACCCTCTTCCGGGTCTGGCGTGTGAACGGGCGAACGGAATCCGGAAGTGCATGCGCACAGCGGCTAGCTGCTCTCTTCCAGGTCCCTGTGCTCCAGCACATGGCTGGGGGCGGATTCACGAGCGTGTGCTCCAGGTTCAGTACTTGGTGCCGAAAAGGTTAACCATCACTGCCCTATAGGTTTTGAAGGTGAAAGGTTAACATGACAGCAACTATCAGATGCCTGACCCCAGTTGCATATTTCTGTGACTGAATTGGTAGATGTAGTTTCAAATAAATCTGAGCAGAGACAGAAATAAATATATCAGTTATCTAAATAAAAATGAAAACACATCAGCGATCTTAGAATACACTAAGTTCAGAAAGCTTAGTGTTTAGTGAAAGCTCAGAGTTTAAGAAAGCTCTGTAAATTATGAAGTACACTTAATTTAGGACTTATGATGGTTTATACCTAAAATAAATAAAACTAAATCTAAGTCTGAAGAACTTTGTTGTTACCTATGTTGTTACCATTTAAGATAGTTAAAATATTCTTGATCCTTAACTCAGAGGAATGTTAAAATGTCTTGACTCTGTAGTTTAGCTTGCATACATGCAATGCAATCCAATGATATAAATTCTTCTCTTAAAGTATAACTGAACTCAATAAGGTTTACATTTGAAATATATAATGGGAAAGATCTCAATAAATTATTTCTCAGCAATCAGACATCACACTCTTAAGCTATGTCTATGTTTTGAAGTGCATGTATATAGGTACTTGAAGAAAAGCATAGCTTAAACTTCTTTCTAAAAATAGTGGAAGCAATAGTAACAAGGATGGGGGATTAGAGTTTTCCCAACAGTTATGAAATTAGCAATTTTTCCTTCAAGAAAGTTTTTTGCTGAATAGCACACAAAAGAAAATAGAGCAGGGATGTCAAACTCAAGGCCCGCGGCCCAGATGCAGCCCATGGAGTGCTTAGATCTGGTCCACAGGGCCACCCTGGAAACAGTGAAGGACTGGCCCACAGTGCCTCTGCCAGTGAAAACAGAGGTTGGGGGATGCATGCGACCCCTCCAAGCCCCATTTTTGCTGGCAGAGGGCTGCAGGAAGCAGTTGCGGCCAAAAACGGAGCTCAGGAGAGCGCTCGGGCCACCACAGGTGGCCACCACATGCTCATATAGCCTCTTTTTAAATACTTCAAATGGAAAGTCTACCAGTCTTGGATGGTCTCGGTGAACTGCTCTTACTATTAGCAGTTTTTTCCTGATGGCCAAATAAAATTATTTTCTTGTAAAATGCTCAGTTTGTGATACATCAAGATCCTTTTGGCATTTGGCTTTTGCTCAATGTTTCTGTTTGACAAGATTCTGTTGAATCTTAATACTTCCTATAAGCTGGAAGAATTTCATGAAATACATCATTGAATGCTTTGAAGTTGGGATACTGTATCCATACTCCTGTGATCAATTAAACTGGTATTCTCTCAGAAAAGAAGATTAATTTGGCTTGCCATTACTTGTTCATTGTGGTTCTTGCCAAGCAATGCCTTATTTTCTAAATCCTGACAAACTGACTACTCAATAATTTGTCCCTTGATCTGTGTCAACATCAAGCTGTCCTGCCTTAATTATTTAGCTCATGGTTTTCTCCTCTTTTGAAGACAGGAAAACATTAGGTCTACTTCACTACACCTATCCTTTATGATCTTCAAAGGTCCTAAGAGAGATCTTGAGATTATGTCTGCAGATTGTTAATGGTCGCTAGGTACATCTTATTTATTTATTTTGAGTTGCTGTACCATACTTTCACATATTGTTTTAATGCAGCGGTTCTCAACCTGGGGGCCGCGACCCCTTTGGGGGTCAAATGGCCATTTCACAGGGGTCGCCAAAGCCCTCTCTCGCCCCCCCCACGCCTTCACTCACCCTCACCCTCTGCCTCTGTTGGATCGCCCGGTCGCCGTTCGCTTACCCCGCCCACTCCCAATCTATTGCTGGCTCCGGAGTCCCAGCTGATGGCTAGACGGGAAAAAAAACTTTAAATTCTTGCCGCGGGGCTTCAAAGAGCTAGCTGCAAAGAGGTAAATTCCTGGAGCAAGTTTTTTTCCCCCTAGCTATGCAGAAAAGAGAAAGCGAAAGCAGGGTCTTAGCTGCAACGTGACAAAATGAGGCAGAGAGATTTCTTTTTCTTTTTCCTCACCAAAAAAGGTAGGTACAAAACTGCAAACAATGGGAAATTTAGGGCAAGAGGAGGTTCAAGATTTTAAAACACAAAAGAAAAAAAGCTCTATTTAACTAGGGAATTGTAATAATTGAGATACTATTAATTGTATATTGTGTTGAAAGCAGAAATGGTTAAGTTGTGGTTTGGAGGAATATATGGGGGAAATTATTTGGTTTATTATTATTGGTAAATATAATTAATTGATTTGTAAGAAATTGGATTGCATGGAAATAATTGGAATATTCATGTTCATATTGATTAATATACAAAAAAGATAGTTATATAACTAATTGATTTATATTAAAATGTTGAATTTGTATTAAACAACTGTATTACATAATTAACCAATGTGAGGATGGATATAAAAATAGATGACAATGCGAAGGGGTATAATATAGAATAGAAGGGAAAAATTGAATTTGATTAAGATTAGAGATGAGGATGAAGGGTAATATTGGTTTTTTTTAAAAAATAGATGAGGAATAAATATGGTAAAAAGGAAATATAGAAATTGTAAATTTAATTGAAATGACTAAATACTGTGTTGGAAGAAATATCCTTCTGGGTTCTGCTCCAAGTGGGGAAAAAGACACTGGAAACATGGAGACTGCTTGGAAAGATGGTTTAATGGTGGACAGGATCACATGGCTTGATATGGCCCATTGTGTTAGTTTCTGTTGCTATTGTGTTGCAAATGTCCTTTGACAAAGGATTGACTTTCTGCCTCTGGCCCATTAACAAAGGGTGGGGGGCAGGAAGGTGGGAGCTGCTTTGTCTGTAAAATATGCTTCTCCATTTCTCATCCAGGTAGGGAAATATAATATTCTGCCTTTTTAATATTTCCCAAAATATTTCATTCTTCTAGGAAAGGGGTGGGTGCTAACCTCCTACAACTGTTTAAATTTGTGAACCGGCCAAATACTCTGTTCAAAGAAAATACATTGTATGTTTGTATGTGTGTTTCTAATTATTGCTATTTATTGCTATTTGTTCTCTTTTATTCTTTAAAGTTTAACAATTAATTCTTTATCTTAATATCTTAATATTTGTTTGGGGTTGGCTTTCTTCCCTTTCATCTTTTTTATTGTACAGCAATCTTTCTCCTCAAACCTACCACCTCTGTCTTTTCTTTCTTACTTACTTTCTCTTCCCCCCTCTTCTTCTTCTCCCTACTTCCTCTTTCTTTCTCTTTCTCCTCCTCTCTTCCTCCCTCTCCTTCACTCCTACTCTAATTTCCCTTCCCTTCCTTCATCCCTCTCTATTGCTGTATCCTTTTATGCATATGGACTACTCAGAGGGCTGAAAAAGTTATTTTTGACTGGTCCTCGCACTTTTGACCAGTCCTCGAATTTACGACTGTCCTCACATTTTACGTTTTTTGCCCTATCTTATACCATGTTGAAGAGAAGCAGTTGTGAAATGAGTGACATGGTTGTTAAGAATGCTGCATGGGCATAAATGTGAGGATGGTCATAAGTGTGAGGATCAGTCAAAAGTGCGAGGACCTGTCAGAAATGACTTTTTTCAGCCCTCTGAGTAGTCCCTATACATATAGCCATGACCACCCGGTCACATGACCAGCTAGCCACGCCCACCCAGTCACATGACTTCCAAGCCATGCCCACAAAATAAGCCATGCCCACAGAACCGGTAGTAAAAAAAATTAGAACCCACCCTTGGTTGGGGGTCACCACAACATGAGGAACTGTATTAAAGGGTCGCGGCATTAGGAAGGTTGAGAACCACTGTTTTAATGGGAACATTTCAACACAATTCCTCCTGGTGCTGAAGACAGAAGCAAAGTAAGATCTGAGATCTGCTCTTTCCCTTTCACCTCTTACTATTCTGCCAACCTCTTAACAGCTGGTTCATACCTTCCTTTTTCCTACTGACAAATGAGCTCTTTTTTTTTTGCAGTTAACTTTCCTTTGCAAGTCTAAATTCCTTTTGCAATTCAGCCTTTCTTACTTTTGTTTCTAAATTGACCCAAAAGAAACAACTAAGTTTATATCTTTTTCTTAGTATTCTGAAACATTTATGAAGCCCATTAAAACGAACCAATCCATGGTAGTTTTAAATATTTCAGTGCACAATGAAAAAAAAAACCCTTTAAATCAAAATAATGAATATATTTCCATTTCTATATTTATCTTTGTATTTGGATAGCATTAACTATATATATTATTTTGAAGGTCTGGGGGACTAAAAAAGATGCATTATATACTCTAAACTTAAATTTGCTGTGTTGCAACTGGCAACTCTATTTTGACAGCATGTTGACAAGCATAGCAATAATAATGAGAAAGAAGTCAGGACCGAATAAAGTTGGTAGGACTGTGCATGGGCAGCTTTCATTTTTTGTTTTACCTCTAACATGCAGTTCCGTTTAAAATAATCCCAAACCGTTTCCACTTCCTTTGTTTACGTCATTTGAGGGAGGGAAGAAAAGGGGAGAATTTAAGTTAAAGCAGTGTTTTTCTTGTTTTCTCAAAAAAAAAAAAAAATGCAGCGGCGGACCAAAGGGGTTGGTAAATCGCAACGTTGGTTCCACTAGACGAGGACACTCAGTCATTTCCCGATTAACTAAAAGTAAAGTTTTTGCTTTCCTGCGAAGCGTCAAGAGATTATACCTTTCAAGCCTCAAACTCAGCTTCTTTTTTTTTCAAAGCAAACCCAATCTTTCGAAAGTGTCTTCTTTGCCCAGCGTAAAGGCAGGCAGGCAGGCAGGCAGGCAGCAGCAGCAGCAGCAGCAGCGAGCGATAGTTCAGTACCGCCGCTCCTAATAATGTATGTGAATGCGGTAGCGGCGTCCCCGCAGCCTCTGAGCCTCTCTCCTCGCCTTGTAGCTGGAACTCCCGCACTGGGCTCTCGCTATCCTCGCTCTCTCTTCCTTGCTCGCTCGCTCGCTCGCTCCCTCTCTCCCCCCTCCCTTTCTCGCTCTCTCGCTCTCTCTTACACTGCCAGCCCCTGATGTGATGGCGAAGAAACCCCGTTGACAAGGCACTGCTTTTTCATGACGGTGAGTTTCCCTTTGAGTGTATTATAATTTTGTGATAAAAATTTCAAGGAAGAAAAAAAACACACAACCTCCTTCCTCCCTTCCTTCGGGGAGGGAAAAGAGAGGGGGGGAAATCTATCTCCAGACAGACAGAAAAGAAAGAGGAGCAAATTAACAACCAGGAGTTGCCAAAACCAGGATATTAGGTTTCAGCCCAGAGAGCTATTGGCTCTGGGGCTAGGTATATAAATATATATCTGGAGAGAGAGAGGAGAGGAGAGGAGAGAGAGGGAGAGAGAGAGAAGGGGGGGGACATAGGGAGGAAGAAGAAGGAGAAGAGAAAAGAAGAAGAGGAGGAGGAGGAGAGGAAAGGAGGAGGAGGGCGATTTTGCGCGGGTGGTGCTTGGTGGGCAGATGTTAATTCACATGGAAATGAAATATTTATTTCTTTTGCAGGAAGAGGCTGTGGTGGTGGCTACTGAGGGCACCTCCAAAATGTGATTCTTAAAGGGGGAGAGGCAAACAAGGAGGGAGAGAGAGCGAGAAGAGAGAGAGGGGGGGGAGAGAGAGAGAGGACAGATAAGGTTTCAGGGCTAGGCTGATAGCTGCAAGGTGGGCGGCGGGAGAGGATGGGGGGGCTGCCCCTCTCTCGCGGAGGCCATGCAAATGTAGAGAGGAGGAAGAAAAGCCCCTCTTTTAATGACTCACTGATTGAGCCGGTTTAAAATTAGTTATTGTTTTGTTTGGGCTTTTTTTTTTCTCCTGGCCACCCCCTTGGCCGTCGAGAGAGGGAGAGAAAGTGTGCCTGAGTGTGTGTGTGTATGTGTCTGCCAGTGTGACTGAGGGTGTGTGTGTCTGTGAGGAAGAGGGGAATCAAGTGTGTATGTGTGTGTGTGAGAGGGAGAGGGAGAAAGAAAAATAATCTTTTCAAATCTCCTCCCTCTTTTTTTCCCCCCTCGTTTCTTTGCTTTTCTCTAAAGCTCTCTGGTCTGTGGAACACTTTTTCTTCCTCCTCCTCAGGAAAATGGAGACGCTCCGTCTTCTCGCTCCTGGGCGGGAGGCTGCCGAGGATTTTTCTTTTCTTTTGCCTCCCCGGCTGGATTTGTTTTCAGCGACCATCTCTTACCATCTCCTACTCATTTTCACCGCCTTTCTAGCATGGGTTGCGCTTTTTGACGGGGATTCTTTTTTTTCCTTCTTAATTTCGTTTCTTATTACTATTTTTTTGTCTCCAGTTTCCTCCGATTTCTTGTCTTTGCGTCATTGTTTCAAGGAATGGAAATGGTGATTTGTTTCGGTGTATGTAATTCTGGGTCGGTAGGATTTAAAATCCTTTTCGGTTGTAATTTATGTTTTTTTTTTTAAAAGCTGCAAGTATAATAAATATTCTACATCTATAACAATGCTTTCGTTTTTGCCTTTCGAAGACTCCGTTATCTGTATCTGGCATGAGATTAACCTTCCAAAAAATGATAAGTGAATTGGTTTTGGTTAAACCTGGAGGGGAGGGAGAGAAATATATAAAGAATGGATTGAAAATCCGTTGGATCATTTTTGATGCGTTTTTTTCTTTTTAATCGAAACGAAGAAGTTGAGGAGTGGGCAATACTCTTAATAGGGAATGCAAGTACAGTAGATTTACAGAAATGGTCGAATTTTGGTGAGGGAAGGACGAAGGAAACTCAGGCCTTTGTGTTTTTATCAGGCTTAATTTCACCCTCCCTAAATTGTATAATCTAGGAGATTTTCCGAATTGAACATGGTTTTCCAAAACTCAGTCGACGGAGCCAATTTTTCCTCACAAGAGTCCCTTTTCTCCGTGCCGGTCTCGTGTTTCGCCGGCTGGAGGGTCAGGGAGAAGGGAAGATGGCGCTGCCTGGCCATCGGCCAGGATTTGTGGCGCAGTTCCTTCTCTTTCGTTCCCTGCCGCCGCCATTTTGAAATGCTTTTAATACGAGGCTTTCCCCTTCGGCTGGGGCGTCGTCTTCCTCTACTTCGTGGAGTTGCTTTCCATCTCTCAAAGTAGAGCAAAAATGGAAACGGGGACCTTCTTCACCTTTATGAAATGGATTTCCAAAAGGGTGAAATATCTTCTGAGACAAATTTAATTTGTCTGGAGAGAAAATCGTACGGAGGTTGAGGGTGCCACGTATTTTAATGCTTTTAACAATTACAAGCCCGATTTCTTCTTGTATAGGACAACTAGCATTCGTTTTAAAAAGTTCTTCCGTCTTTATTTTCATTTATAAACTATCTTCTTACGAAGAATACTAGTGGTTATGGGGACAAATGGCAATTATCACTTCTGTTAAATGATGTGAACTCCTTTTATAGAAATTACCATCTTGTGTTCCCCACCAGATTAGGCTGTAAATCCTTGAAATAGTTCAGCTTCGAATGTATAAATCACATAGAGAAAAATATCTATGTGATGCAAGTAACTTTAAAGACAAGCAGCGTGTGATCTGTGGATTAAAAATGGAGGACCTTGGGAAATTGGATGGCCTTTCAAATTTTTTTATAATTACACAATTTTACATGTGTCAGTGAGGTCCTTTTCCAGAAAACCTAGTAAGGGAGCATAATAAAACTTGACTACAGTTTTTCCTACCTTCCACTGTCATTAGATTTCTGTTTTTGAAGGCTTCGTAAAGAAGTAAAATATATTTATTTAAAATACAAGTAGTCTTAAATTCTGTCATCTCAAAATACTTAATTGAAGTGGTGGCAAGTGTTAATATAACTGGTCTTTTGTTTATTTTTTTAGATATTCAATTTCACAGGAAACAAAATGGGCAAACAGTAGTAGATATATTGCATTTTCCAGTAATTTTCTACTATTAAGTCTTTCTTTGATCTTCTAATTTTTCAGAATTAATTAAAACCTTTTGAATAAATGTAAGAAACGATTAATATTAGGAAACAATTGGCTTGATTAAATTTAATGTGACAGCAATGAAGTTAATTCCATCTATTTGTAGAGCCATTAATTTCCTCAATGGAAAAAAGATGATTTGGACTTGGTTTATTATTATGTTTCCTAATAAATAACTGATGCAATAAATAAATAAGAGTAGTTCTTCAGCAAAGTTCTAAGTGTTAGTGTTGATCATTAGGCTACATCTTTCATTGCTTTTTGGCATTCTAAACTGGAGAGTGCAGTTAACATTGCACCTAGGCAATTCTTTAAAAGAGGTTTGTCTAGCACATTGGTTTAGTAGTTGTCTTAATATATTTGGTGTAAAATATATCGAGAAATCAAGGAAAAAGATTAAATTAAAAAATTCAGATACATTGTTTAGTAACATTTCAGTTTTCCTTCCAGGAATTATTGTACATTTTTCTGTGTAATCCCCCTCCCCCACCCATTTAAAATATTTAATAGCAGTTTAGTAAATTATATAGTAAATTCAATAAAATACCTGACTTCATTAAGTCTCATGAAAGAAAAGGATTTCTTATTTGGCAAGTAATTTAAATGGCATCAAAGAAACTAACTTTGAAAGGAGACATTGTGAAAAATTGTATTTTAATTGGGCATATACCTGGCATATACTTCATTTTAGTTAAATATGTTTTGTTAGGCCTAGATTTATGCAGCATGCATATTTTTCAAACACTGAAAAGATGAGCTTCTGGGTATATTTATCATTTCCAGCAGCAGATCTTACCACATAGAAATCCCAGGACACAGTATTTATGTTCAAAGGGTGACATTGATTTCTATTAATGTTTCCTCGTGCTAGAAACCACCTTAAATCTAAAAGCAAACCATACTTTCAACCAGAAATGTTTCTTTTTTCTAAGATACGTAAAAAAGCTTTACATCATGTATAAAACACATATAGAAAGAAATTATGGGAATTGGCAAGTAATGAGAATACCAGTTTATAACATATATAAATTTTGTCCATTTGATAATTGGCCCAGACTACTAAAACTAATTTACATAAAAGCTTATTTAGCTTTTATGAGATAGTGCTTATTTGTTCTGCCAATCTTAGGAGTGCTGCTTCTTATTCATATACAGGTAAAGTTAACATTTACTCATATTCTCAATCATGGTTATAATTCATATGTAGCGCAGGTGGTGTTCACAGTTTAGACATTCACAATCTTTTATTATGTCATTTTGATAAAATAAAAAAACTTTTGAAGAACTTAGTTTATCAATTCTTTGGGAAAGTCTAACTATTAGAATAATAGCACAACAGAAAAAAACCATTTTCAACCAGTTGTCTAATTTTAGATTTATTTCTGAATAGTGTAATTTGTATTAAAGAAATTACAAAATTAAAAACTGAAAACATCCTGTTTTGACACTGCAATTGGGCTACCCAGTAGTGCTTCATATTCAAATCTAAAGAAGTTCCTTGATGTGTAGGAGAGGCCCATACAGCTACCTTTTGGTATCAGATCTAAAGTTTTATACTGTGCAGCCCTAATCTGTTAGTCATAAATCTTGGTTTACAGCAGTCACTTTTTCATAGATGGATTCCCCACCAGTAAACAGTGGCAAATTTGAAATTTGGTATAATGGGAAGCAGGCATCTATACTTCTATAATGTAATCATTTCTGTTTCTAACAATTTTAATTGCTTTGTTTCAAGTAGAATAAAAGATTGCTTGTTCTATTTTTATTCTTTTTAACTAGAATTTATAACTGATAAATGATTACATTTGTTTTACTTTGTTACAAAACACAAAGGATGGTATGAAAGATTCAGTGTACGTATATGCATTTGTAGATTATGCAAATACACATAATGAGCATGTGCAGATTTTTTAATTTTTAATTTTGAATCTAAAGAATAATGTGGCAGTTGTTAACTGATAACCAATCTATTCAATTTATTTATATGTCCCTATTCCAGTATGTGAGCTGGACATACACTGGGAAACATATCATAAGGCCGATGATACTGTCTAGCTTTAAGCTCACAATCTAGAGAAGCTATAGATACACTGCCACACTACCAGAAGTATAAATGCAAACTAATGAATAACTTGACAACTTCTCACAAATAAATTGTCAGGAGTAAAATTAATGTGCAAGAGGAAACAATATGTTTCCAATTTCCTGCATTCCAGTAGAAATTACCAAAACGTATACAAGCACATTTAATATGTAGTAGAACCTTTTATACATGGACATTCTGCAACTTCTGAGGGGCAAAAAGCATTGTATTATAGTATATGAACAATCCAGTGAGTGGAAATCTGATTAGGGAGTGCTTTCTCTACCTTTCATTTGATTAAAGGAACACATACTCGGTGTATATAGGGAATTACACATTCTTACTCCATAGACGTTGGTTGTGTCATTTGTGTTCATGTCTCCTCCCATCTATCTATCCAAGTAAGAAAATAGTAATATTTGATACTTTATTTTATATTTAAGCCAATGCTTGAAAATATACATATTAAAAAAGCTTACATATATTCTTCATAACAATGGGAGACAAATGATAGACAACGTGTTTGTAATAATACTAATTTATCCTTGAAATACTACTATGCAATAAGCTATCGAGATTCTGAATCTAATGCAATGTCCATTGCTTAACATAATTTTATCAAAATAATATCAAACAATTTCAAACTGCTGTAAGTAACATAGAATATAGTAACATTCTTATACTTCAAATAATAATTTGGCATATGGATATAGATGTATGGAATTACTGTCTAGAAAAAGATTGGATTCTACTAAGCTATGTTTTTTTAAAAACATGTTTTCTTTAATAAAATTTGGTTGAGTTTACAATGTGCTAAAGAAACAATTTCATGGTTTTAAATAAAATGTGAAAATATATAGAGAGAATACAGTTGATCAGATTAAACATCCCTAAAGGATGTATACAAAAACCTACAGAGATAAAATAAATTTGAGGAAGGAAAGAGAAAGAAAGAAAGAAAGAAAAAAGAGAGCCAGTTTGGTGTAGTGGTTAAGGTGCTGATCTAGAAACCCGGAAACAGAGATCCAGGCTTGCTTTAGGCATGAAAAACCATTTACTTTCTCTTAGCCCAGCTCATAGGGTTGTTGAGGGGAAAGTAGAAGAAGGAAAGAGTATTGGTATGTTAGCCACCTTGAGTTGTATATGAAAAAAAGTGGGATAAATTAAAAAAAAAATGGAATGGGGTGGATAGAACAGAAGGAACAAGTTGCATTTTGTGTTAAATGTCAATTACACTGTGTTCTTTTGCAGCACTTTACTTTGCCTTGCAAAGGTGATGGCAGGAAAACAAGGCCAATTAAAACTATGAGGTGTAGTTCTTCCTTAAATCATTTATCTGTTATGCAGCCATTATATTCCAGAACAAAATCCTAATTGTCACAAGATCCAGGCACATGAAATAGTTGAGCTGTGCAGGAAGATAGATTAGATATCTCTTTGCTTTGGCTTTCCTATGCCTTTAAGAGCACTTTAGGTAATAAAGTCAGTACATGAGATATGAAGATGAAATGTTTTATTGGTTATGTTCTCTACATGCTTATATCCTTCATAATATATCACAATATCTAGCATATAAAGAGAATTTGAAATATAAGATTTCAGCTTCACAGAGGATATTTTTGAAAATCATAGTCTCTGAACCACATGTTGATATGTCCAACTCGGAGAGCTTTTGTACCTTTAAAATACATGTTCCACCTTGTCACTGTCTGCTCTTGTACTTCATAATTCACATCTATTGGAAAGATTTCATGAGAAAAAAATCGCAACAGTGACCAAAGTTGAAGCTATAAGATTCTTGATTGGAAGATGGAAAGCATGTTTGAAAATGTGGAGTGTGCAACTAGGAGACAGTTGTAGAATTCTCTGAACAAAGCATCTGGATGCACTTCAGGTGATTTAGGATCAGTCACGGACATACTATGGCACAATGAGCATGAATCAGCAGAAAGTCAGTATTTTCATTCATTTGGATGAAATAGAAAAATATGTTAGTAAATAATGCAATACATATCTGAATTTGGCAAATCTCTTGAGTTAGAAGAATAGAATGGGCAAATACACTCAGATTTGGGAATTATTTGTTGTGAGCCATCTAATAAACCTAACTGGTGCACCAAATAGCACAAACAATTCATCTCGTAAAACTGGAAACACTCTTAAACACACACACAGCTCTGCACTGTTTATAATATTGTGTGTGACAAAAATCAATTAACAGTATAGAGTTGTGAATTAGCTAAAATGCAGTAAAAATAAGCCATTCACAGGCTAAACAAACAAATGGAACACACAAAAATAGATCAATGTGTGGAACATCATTCAATTTAGGTCCACATTGATTATACAAGACAAATAGGTAAATATTTTGGGGATGGTAGCAACATTATATTTTGACTTTTCCATGACAATACTTTGGGGAAGAAAAATTGAAAGATAGTACCAATACAAATTGGGATTTGGGTCTTCATTTCTGTTTTTAGGCTGTGGTCCAGAAATGCCTATACCTAGCTTGGATTACAGATACAGATTAGTAGTAGAAGTAAGCATGTATACTAATTTTAACTCTGCATTCATCAGCACACCTCAGATATCTGAGGGATTGGGAGGATTTTTGGAACAGATCTAAATCGTTCTTCAGAGGTGTGGTGGAGGAGGGCAACAATAAATAAGGAAAATTAGATTCCATATTACTGGATGTAGCCTACTACATAGTCACCTTCCAGTACAATAAATTAATATGGTAAAAACACTTTCATGGTAAATATATTTTGTAATTTCTTACATAAAACAGTCTTTCAGAAAAAGATAGTTTGAAATGTGTTGTATGTTACAATATGAATACTTTATTTTCTTCTTAGTTGTCATGGATGATGATGATGATGAAGCCTGTCTCTTTGATCTTATCGGGTAAGATTTTATTTTAGACACCTGTCCTTGAAAAATATTCAAAATTCATTTTAAAAGGAAAGCAAGTTAGATAAGCAACTTCAGTTTTAATATTTTATCCTCTGAAGCTTAATTTTATTTCACAATAAATAAATGATTTCCCCTCCAGGAAACTGGATTTAAAATTTTCAAAAAGAAGTAGGGAAGATTGATTTTTGTAATTTCCCTTTATTTCCTGCAGCTTCCAGTTTTTCTTGCCATTCTTCATTGTGCCAGATGAGTTTTTTAGGGGCACATTAAGCTGTAGAAGCAGAACTGGTGAAAATTCATTTTATTATGAGACCAGTGTTCTTTCTGCAGAGCATTTACCTCTGCTTCTCATATATGATGAAAAGGAAATAAAATTTGTATGCATAAATATCCAAAAAAGAAAAAGGAGAAAAAAAGGAAAGAAAATAGTAAAAAGATAAAAAAGATAGTTGCAGTAGGAAGGATACGGAACAAAACTGTATGGAGAGATGGCAAGGGAACTGACAGCATGGGAAAGTAGAATGATGCAAACCCTGTTTAGACATTAAACATAAAAATTCACTAGGGAAGCTCCTCTCAAGAAACAACTAATTTTTCAGACTAATTTTTATAGGCTTCTATGATTTTTATCAGCAAAATCTGCATCTGTATATATTGTCACCCATTAATTTGTTTCTGTTCTCAGATCATGTAAAACAAACATAATGTAGAACAAGCCCGCCCTTCTTCTAATTTAATATTATTTAAGAAAAGTCACTTTCATATTGGAAAATATTTTCATATACATTTACATATTTGCATCCCATTTTATTTTCATCTATATTAAATATAAAAAGAAAAAGTGAAATCTAAGTTCTTTTAAACCTAGGGCATGACTTAAAGTATGATAATACAATAGCATTATAAAAATTATGCAGATATTGGATAGAAGATTGTTGGGGATTGTTTATCTCATGCAGAATTTCATGGAACAGAAAAACAAATACAAGGAAGTAAATAAGTTGAGAATCTCCTCAAATTGTTTGTATGTGAGTTTAAATAATAGCCACCTAGTGAATCTTTCTTTTTGAGCATCTAGCAGGCAATAGATAGTCACCTGAATTTAGTTAATGATTTGGAGGTTGCAACTTTTTTGCTCTAGCAGATTTCATTTATAGAAGACTGGCAACCAATGAAATATATTTGGGTGAAAAATTAACTTGAAAAAATTCACCATATAAAATAGTAGTTTTTACTACTGATTATAATTTGCTGTATTATTTATACAAATACTGTATAAAAATTCTCTTGGTCGTATGAAATATTAACATAAACCAAGAGATGAAAAAGATAAATGTAAACAAATAGTTTCTGTTTATAAGCCAATTTATTTTTAAAATATAAATATGTCCTCAGGTCAACTTCATCTCTGGGTGGTTACAAAATCACAACCATGCATTTTGGGGGGGTAGTGGTGGTGGTAACAATATAAAAGCTTTCTGGGATGTTACTTGATTTCCCAGTTTAGCCTACAGTCCTGTCATTCCTTGGTAGTTCCCATCCAAATGCTAACCTGGTCCAAATCTGCTAGCCTTCCAAGTCTATAAGAGAAATACCATGTGCTGCTACCTATTGAAACAATTTAAATTTTAGCAACATTTATGTTTTAAAATGCTTTAATGTTTAAAATGGCCCATCTCACTTTTTTTGTTTATATATATTTTAGAGATCCACAGGCACTGAATTACTTTCTACACGGAGGGGGTAGTAAATCTGTAAGTTATTTATGTTATCTTATTGTACATTTAATTTTTTTAACCATTTTTCAGGGTTGCTAGAAGTGTGCCCACAGAATCTTAAAGCAAATTCAATGCATACAAGGATTATCACAGCAAACTAGAAATGTGGGGTTGCAGTTCTGCATTTTTTTTCTTTCCATATAAAAGAAATCTTATGTGCCCAATGAGTGGTGATGTAAAAGAGGTAGTCTACATTTTAGCACTTTTCAAGTTTATGTGGCAGAGAACTGTCTTTGAATTTTTCTGAGGCTAAAAAGTTTACTGAAGTTGGAAAGAATAACCACAATTGTTGATGGAAAGATAGTGGGAGGAAAAATGTAATGTTGGATTTTAGCACTTAAGGATCAGACTCTTATTATACAATGAGGAAAGTTGTGCTCTAAATGTATTACTCTTAGTTTAAAACTATTTATTTGTGTTGTCACAGAACAGTGAAGACTTGAGTAACATAGGATATTCTGCAGCCAACTCAAATTCCATTTTTGCCAATACCAGTGTAAGTACAAAGAAAAAAATATACAGTATTATTTGCTTTGTTTATATTAAATGGAATTGAATGGAATAAAAATAGTAATTGATTATCTTATAAGATCAAATACCTATGTTGTCCGTATATATACTATTATTTTTATTAGTGATATTAATGAATAGTTATTCTCTCAGATTTTGATTTCACAATATTTATACACCTGAAATAAATTGCATTTGGAAGCTATTCCTTTCCCAAAGTATTTAGTTTTGTGAATTCTATTCAGCCCACATATGCAGATTGTTGGAATTCAGAAACTGAGCAGATATCTAGTTAGAGCAAGCTACAGTACAAGAAAATTTTACCAAGAAAAGTGGTAAATGTGTTACTAAAATTTCTGCTACTTCCTCTCTCTATTAGAAAGAATTATGAGACAGATAGAAGTGATCCAGAATTACCTCTTAATATACCCTAATTACCTGTTAATATACCCTGATCTGTTATAGCAGGATTTGTAATTCAGTTGAACTCATAATATATTGTTTTTTTCTTTATCACTTCTAGTTTTGTAATTCAGACATAGCAGATTCTAACAAAGAATAAAGATTGTGATGACTGACCTTCTATTCTCTGGACATGCTAGCTAAATAGTACAGGTTGAGATGGTGTGTAGCAGGGCTGTAGAGTGCTTTACACTTCAAAGGTGTTTCAGACTGCATTTAGGCACCCACATAGCACCTAAACAAAACATATATTTTCCAGAGCTTATGCTGCAGTTGCAGAGGGCAGCTGAGTGGTCCTTGGAGAAGACCAAGCTGCTTTAAGGAGTTGCCATAAAATTCCTGTACGTACTCTGGAGTAGTTCTTTCCTTCAGATCCAAAGTGTGATTTCATGACATGGCAAAGCCCTAATGTTTAATGTCATGTCATGATAGATTTGCAATTAGATAAAAGTTTAACATTTATAGAGTGTCTTTGTTACTGGTGATAAATAGATATATATAATATTTATAGTGTGCATATTATTAGGATGTTTTAGATCTGGACTTCTGGCAATAGTTTGATCAGCTCTACACTACTTCAGTCTGATCTGATTTGATCCCGAATCAACTTTACATTTTTCTTTAAAGAAAAATATAAAATGTAAACAGCTGTAGCTTTTTAATGTTCATATAAAGTAGATAATATGCTGCCAGTGCCTTAAATAATTACAAACTGTAGTTGTAAATGTGCTGCAACATTCAAATGATTGAACAGAGGGTTAAAAAAGAAGAGAATGTTCCACTCATTTACATTAAGCTCTTGCCATCAGTTTATACATTTTGTATACCAGAATCTTTATCCTGTTGTCAAATGGGGTAATTAAAAGCAGACTTGTTGGATTTGGCATTAGAGTTTCTTGTTTGGATTCAGAACTCTCAGGCTACTTCTAACTAATCCTTCACAGGACCGTTGTGGGATTTAAATGATACCCACAGAGGTATCACCCATCAATGCTGTCTGAGAACCTTGGTGAAAAAATGTTAGGATTATTTCACAGTGTTTCACAACAGTAATGTTTCTTGTTCTAATAATAAACCTGAGAAGAGGAAAATAATTATAGTGAACTATGCTATACATTATAGTGAACTATGCTTATACACTGGGCACTTTTAAAAAAAGATTGAAGAAATTTTATTGTATTTTTTTCCTTTCAGAGCTCTGACCCTAAGTCATCAATCAAAGGTGTTGGTGGTCAGCTTGGAGAAGGGTCTAATGATGGACTACAATTGCCAAGTACTCTTCAGTTTCTTGATGATGAACTTGAATCATCTCCATTGCCTGATCTTAGTGAAGATCAGCCTTTTGATATCCTCCAGAAATCTTTGCAAGAAGCTAATATTACTGAGCAGACTTTGGCAGAAGAGGCTTATTTGGATGCCAACATAGGCTCCAATCAACAGTTTGCACAAACACAGCTTCATCCTTCCTCATCAGCATCTTTTACTCAGGCTTCTAATGTTTCTAATTACTCAGGTCAAACGCTGCAACCTATTGGAGTTACTCAAGTAGTACAGCCACCCGTTGGAGCATCTTTTACAAGCAATACAGTTGGTGTGCAACATGGCTTTATGCAACATGTGGGGATCAGTGTTCCCAGTCAGCATTTGTCAAACAGTCAGATTGGTAATTCTGGACAAATACAACTAATTGGTTCATTTAGTAATCAACCTTCTATGATGGCCATAAATAATCTTGAAGCATCTCATATTATATTGAAGGGTGGCGGACAACAAGCACCTGCAAATATGAGTGGTGGACTTTTGGTTCATAGACAAACTCCTAATGGCAACTCATTATTTGGCAATTCAAATTCAAGCCCAGTAGCACAACCTGTAACTGTTCCATTTAATAGTACAAATTTTCAGGCTTCTTTGCCTGTACACAACATCATTATACAGAGGGGTCTTGCTCCAAATTCTAACAAAATTCCCATCAATATTCAACCCAAACCAATTCAGATGGGACAGCAAGCCACTTACAATGTAAATAGTTTAGGAATACAGCAGCATCATGTACAACAAGGGATTCCATTTGCTTCATCAAATTCTCCTCAGAATTCAGTAGTTGGTCCACATATGTCTGTTAATATTGTTAGTCAACAAAATTCAAGAAAACCAGTTACTCCCCAAACAGTAAGTAATGCCAGTGGTAGCATTGTTATCCATTCTCCAATGGGACAACCTCACACGTCTCAGAATCAGTTTCTTATACCCACAAGTCTGTCTGTAAATCCCAGTCCAGTTCATCATGTCCAGACTGTAAATGGACAGCTGCTTCAGAATCAGTCTTCACAACTTGTTTCCAGCCAAGTATCAACTGAGCATGTTATGTTAAATAGAAACTCTACGAATATGCTCAGAAGTAACCAAGCATATTCAGGACAAATGCTGAATAATCAGAATGCTGTACAGTTAGTTTCTGGTCAGACATTTGCTCCTTCAGGAAACCAAGTTATAGTCAACCATGGAACTTCTCAAATTGTTGGTGGTCAGATTCCATTACAACAATCCTCTTCCGCTGTATTACATTTATCTCCAAACCAAGGAAACCTTTCCCAAGGCAGAACAGGATTTTCAGCAGCATCTCCTGGACAGGCAACTGGTTCAAATATATCTTCAAGTAATCGTTTTACTGTTGTGAGTTCCTCTGCTACGGTACATCCAAACATTGGCTCATCAGTTCAGTCTGTAGCTTCAAGTGGAAACTTTGCTGGAGATCAACTTACACAGCAAAATAGAACTCAGTTGTCAGTCAGTGTATCACATCGACTTCCAGTTTCTTCGTCAAAACCTGTCAGCACTTTCAGTCATGCATCAATAACCCAGCCACCATTTTCGTTTGGACAGGTATGATTCACAAGATCAAAAATATTCCATAAATTTAGTTTCTTTAATGATGCAGGATTGGATATGATCATGCAGCCGTTGCTTCTAAGTATTAAGCAGTATTTTGAAATAACTGCTGTTTTATGACACGATAATACCAACTTTCTCCCCCCCTTTTACATGGAATTATTATTTTGATTAAAATGTGGTTTCATAGAAATAAGGTTCATTACTGGGTTAGATGTGTTTCATGTGATAAGAATGAAATACAGTGAATGTCAGAATTCGATGAACTTCTCACTTCTATTTTAAATTTAATTGCAGTTTATGAATTGCTTTATTTTCATTAATCAAAGGCAAGATTAACCACAGTTTGGGATTTCAGCATAATGATATTTTATGTTGAAAATGGAATTTAAATGGATATTTCCAAGTTACTCTCACATACTTAATAAAAAAGGCATAGAGGGGAGTAGATAATTCCAGACTTACTGTGGCTTGCTTTCATTATGCTAAGTAATAGTTTAGTCACAAACTTTGTGATATCCGAACCAACTACTGAAGCTAACAATTAAATGTCATTTGTAGTAATTTGTATATAAAGAATGAATAAAGCATTTATATAACAAATGATAGATGAGAAATAAGGATTTTATCCATACTTTGCTCCAATTCAATTATGAAGATTTAGGATGTAAGTTGAATATCATTAATTGAAGTTCAACTCTATGAATGAAGGTGAGTCAGTCTTCAGTTAACTAATACCAGAATCAATAGCCTTAATTCTAATTACATCAGAAATAGTTTGGAAGTCTAGCACTCAAAGAATTGATCACACATAATGATTTGAAGCCCTTCCAAAAAAAGTCTGAAAACATTTTTACCTTATCCCAGTCCCATCCCCAGTGATGTCACTACATTATTGGACATACATCTCTCACTGAAAAATATGTTAGGTGTTCCTGGTTTATGGTTTAGTATGATGCCTAAATGAAGTTATTGTTGTACATCCAATAACTGGTTAAAACTAAGTAAATCATGTAGAACTCAGCTACTTATGTATTTTTTATGCGGATTATTTCTTTTTAAATATCTATTTTCTTTAATTATATGTGTGACATGTCTGTGTTGTGTCTTTGCAGATTCAAAAAAAAGCAACCAACCTGGCATCTTCAGTTGCATCATCAAAATCACAGGACAACTTGAGACAACCACAGTCAACAAATCTTTTAGGTAATCTAGTTTATTAGATTTTAATTTCTTTCTAATCTCTCATGAATGAATTACTTCATTCTAATGTGATCTTACGTATCAGTTGAAAAGTTCGGATTGTAAGTAGATATTAGTATGTATACTACTGATATACAATAGACAAGATATAAATTAAATTGTATATATAATTTATATTTAATTATAAATTAAAATCTAAAAGTGCATTTGTCAAGTTTCTTTGGCTAGTATCAGTGATTCAGTAACTTTATAAACATATGGCAATGTTTTATAAAATACCAGCTATTTGATCATATATATGTGAACACAGTGTTAGAACTTGCCACTATTAAGTATACAAAGGATTTGATTTAGAACTCAGCAAACTCAGAGAGCACCAAGGATCCATCATTTCAACCCTGAGCTCCAAATATTCTCCTTTATTGGTAAAACATTTCAAGTGAAAGTCAATCCCCATGTTATGGGTTCATGTCCAGAAATGAATGATGTACTTTGTTCTGGGGATGGACCATTCCAAAGTGGTTGTTCTACGCATGGAATGTTTTGCCCATTCCTTATTATAAGCTCCCCAAGATAGTTGTAACCTGCTCCTAGTTTTGAAGGAAAAGAAATTCATATTGCAACATTTGAAGGATAAATCTATGGCCCCATTTATTCAATGAATTGCTTGCTTCTTATTGCATATAGATATAAATTTTGTATGGATAAATACAGTGAAATGTGGGATGGCATGCAAAATATAGAAGGTTAAAAATACTATAGCTATATAAGTGAATTGTAAATGAACACAAATACATTATATATAATATATAATAGGTCTTTTTATATATAATTATATATAATAGGTCTACATTAAATAACTATATATAGAATTATAACTATTATACAGGTAGACCTTGACTTATAACCGAGTCTGGAAGTTAGGTCATAAATCATTGAGTTATTAAAGGAGACACCTACAGGCTGCCTGCTCAATGACCATAATCCTAGCTTTCTGTCAGGTACAAAGGATCAGAATCATATGTTAAGTAGTAGTTCACAATATTTACTGCTCAAGTCTATTCATAAGGATCTAGTCAACTGATGGCCAGTACTAAATTAGTGCTGGATAAGAGTTAATAGAATTTGGGGGGGGGGGGGGGCTGGATTTGAATCGCTTGTGGCAATGTAACAACTCCAGATGGATTATTCTTTTAACTCCCCCACCCCTTTTCTGCCTCTTTCTCTATACTCTATTGCTAGATGGCTGAGGCATTCTAGCCTACAGCAGAGTTCCTGGGGGGATGGGACAAGAGAGGACAATCTTCTCGAGAATGGTGGGAAAATAGAGAAGGCAACAACTTACAACTAAAATTCTGGGCTTAGTTATGGTCATAAATCAAGGACTATTTGTATTTTATAGCACCATTTCCTCATCCCCGTGCTGGACCCCACGCCAGAAAGTTTGGGGACCGCTAGTCTAGAATAGTTACAGAAAAACATTCCCGGTGACAATTTATTTAATATCTTTCAGTGATGTATATTTAGGTGGAAGATTCAAAATATGTTTGCTTTGTGTAATGTCAAGAAACTTCACAGTGAGTATATTTACAGGACAAGATGCTGGAGCCAAAGTCATACAACAACCTATAGGAACAGTGTTACCACACCAGGAAAAAACAGCAGGGTCATCGCTTGCTCAAACAAATGTGCAGGTAGGGGGGGGGGAAATCACCTGCTTTTTTTCTGTAAATAATTTCCCATTTTGCCACTGAAAATAATTTTGAGAAGGGAGATTTGTGAAGAAATCTGTAGTAGTACATTTGTAAATCTCTTATCAATATATCTCAATCACTTTAAATATTATATGAAGCTAAACAATACTGTAATACATAATACATAATCCTGTCTATTTCAAACACCTTACCATTTATTTGTTTACCAACAGAACTTACTTTGTGCTTGTGTTTATAAAAAATGAAAGAGGTTGTTTATTGGCATAATCTTGCTTAAAGGAACAATAAAAGATTGTGTCATGGAACACTGCATTAGCATATTTGTTGTCATTTGCTTCAATTCAATAATCTTGAAAAGGGAAATTTGTGAGGAAATCTATGATAGTGTATTGGAAAATCTCTTTAGAGAAATTGTATGAAACTAAACAATAATGTAGATATTTGGTGGCATTTGCCATTTTAAATACTTTAGTAATTCTTGGATCACACTATAAAAAGTACACCCTGATTTTATGCTTGATTATACAGGCATATTCTATTGATAAGGAGGATTATTTTTGAAAAATTTAAAAGGCAAGTATGTCTAAGATTGTAATTGTTACCTTCAATGACATATAAACCATTTTATTTATTTTCATATGTGACACATAAAAAGTTCAAATTCATATTAATGCAGTTTATAGAAAGTAGTTCAACGGATTTTTTACAACATTTTTAGATGTACAAAACATTTACAACTACAAAATGTAGTTTCTTTTACTAAAAGTTTATCCTAATGTAACAGAAATGTATTTTGGACCTAGGTGGATGGTCATATAGTAGGACAAAAAAGACCTGCTGCTAAACAATTAACCAAAGGAGCCTTGTAAGTTATTTTTCTTTCAATATACATTTTAGCTTTTTTAAAATTTTGCAAAATTGTTCCAGATGTCATTGTAAACTGACTGATGGTTACCTTCTTTCCACTAGCATTCTACAGCAATTACAGAAGGACCAGGCACAGGCTGTAACTCCTGACAAAAGTCAGTTCAGATCTTTAAGGGATGCAGTCCAGAGACTTCTTTCATATCATGTGTGCCAGGGATCACCGCCAACTGAAGAGGATTTAAGGAAAGGTATTTTTCCCTTTCTACTATTTTGAAAAAGATGTGTGTATGTATGGTAGTGGTGGTAGTGGGGCGCTTATAAGTTACATGTTATACATATAATGGAAAATGGAAGAAAAGGTTTATTATAAATATTTTAGGGTTTAAAACTACTATCTAAATATATTTTAATGCCTTTTCAGTGGATAATGAATTTGAATCTGCGGCAACACAGCTTCTGAAAAGAACACAGTCAATGCTAAATAAATACAGATGTCTTCTGTTGGAAGATGCAATGGTAAGACAAATGAAAAATAATTATATATGTTTTTTCAGGCCAAATTACCGTGGTTGTAACATTAACCATGTGATTAATACTGGCATGTAAATATAATAGGTCGAGGGAAGCAAAGTTGATTAATTTCCAAGATATAAGATAGCTTCAAAGTGTCTCATTTGTAAGTAACATGGGGACCCAGTTTTTAATTGAGGTTACTACAAAGGTTTGAAATTCTTAGCTGTAGAACATAGTCCTCATTTGCTACAGTCACCCATGTCGAACTACAGTTAGTCCTTGACCTACAGCCGTTTGTTCAGCAACTGTTCAGAGTTACAGTGGTGTTGAATGAATGGTGATTCTGACTAATCCTCGGAGTTCCAGCAGACTCAGCACTCTTGCCGTCATGCTATCGCAGTCAGGAAACTTGGCAACCAGTTCACCCTACAAACAGTGGCAACCTCATTCAATCACATGATTCCCATTTGCAACCTTCCCTGGTGGCTTCCCTGGAAAGTCAGTTGGGAAAGTCTCCCCCACCCGTGCATCGTCCCCAGCGTCTCTGAAGTTTTTCCACGTTGGCTGCTTACACCCTTCCCAACTTGTATTGTGCTCTTGCACATCCTCTGACCATTGCCACATTTCCTTGCTCCCTCCTTTGGTCGTAAGTTGTTGCAGTTGTTAAGTGGATCACTACATGATTTTATGACAATTTTTATGATGGTTGTAAAGGAAATCACCATGATGGTTAAAGAACTCACGTGATTGTTAAGTGAACCATATGGCTGTTAAGAAAATCCATTTTGCTGGAAACTGATTGTGGGATACTGCAGCTGATTGTAAATGCGAGCCAGTTGCCAAGTGTCTGAAAGGCAATTCTGTGACCACTGGAGGAGCATTGGGTGCAGCAATCACTGGAACTGTTATGCTATTTATTTGTTAGATTTATATGCCAAATGTCTCGCCACAGGGCTACTCTAGGCAACTTAACAACAATAAAAAGGAAGAAATGAAAAGAATGAATAGAATAGAAGTAAGATAAAAGAACAATAAAATAAACAATGAAAGAGACCATAATGAGAAATACAACCGTATGATTAAAAAAAAAGATGGCTGGGTAGAGAGCAGAGAACAAGGGAAAGGAGGAGGAGTCTGCCATCAATCCAGCACCCACCTCCAGCATTGAGCTATCCCCTATTTGGACCCAGGACATTAAGCAGAGAGAGATCTTTAGGTTGTAGTGAAAGGATAGGAAGGTGGGGGAAGATTTTACCTTAGAGGGTCAGATGTTCCAAAGGGCAAGCAGTGCAGCAGAGAAGTGCAGCAGAGAAGGTTTTTCTGGATCCCAACAGACAGAGTTCTGTTTTTATGTATTGCACTGCACTGCACTGCATTGAATACAATACAAAAGAATATAACTTTTGTTCTGTGGTTTGATATGATATTAAAATGGTTCTCATATAATTTCAACAATTGGCTAGAAAACAGGAGCATAACATTTTTTGTTTGTAATATGGTCGCTGATTTTGTTTGCTTGTTTTCTTTTCCAGAGGATAAATCCTTCAGCAGAAATGGTAATGATTGACAGGATGTTTAACCAGGAAGAAAGACAATCTCTGTCCCGGGATAAACGTCTTGCAATAGTTGATCCTGGTAAGAAACTAAGATTCCTTCTAGATATGAGACTTCTTTTGTTTATTTCACTGCTTTTTCATTTTGTTTTACTTGCCAATTGAATGCAACATAGTCTCAGTATAATTCTTGATGGATATGTGGCTGTTAAAATCCATAATGATCCTTATTCACACTAATAAGTAAATAATAGTATAATGCAGTAGGCTATATTATTGTACTATTAATCTTAATTCTTCCCTCTCCCACCACCTGTTTGTCTCTTCTTCACTTTCCCAAACAGTATGTTTGTTGGAAGGATGCAGATACAATATGTGATTTTGATACACCTGCATCATGTATTCAAAAATTTGCTTTGCTAAATGCCAATATTTAAATCACTTTCACTTGTAAAATATGATGTAATTTGTTTTAAAAGGAACTATGTTTGCAAGTATATTTCTTACCTCTATACTTATTCTGAGTATATTCTGAACAGAAATGTTGTAAGCTACAAAGACTAATGAAGGCAATTGAGAACAAATTTCAACATGAAATTTAAATACTTTGAAATTCTTAAATATTAGTTTATTTTATAAAAATGTGCATGTAGGTACAGAAGGCATTCGTTAGTTTTCAGTGAAACAACAGTTAATAAGTCCAGCAATAATTAATAGGTCAGGTAATTTTAACTTAATGTTATTTATTTATTTATTTATTTGTATCCTACCTTTATTATTTGTATAAATAACACAAGACAGCAAACATATCCAATGTATCTTCCCCTCCTATTTTCCCCATAACAACCACCCTGTGAGGTAAGTTGGACTGAGAAAAAGTTACCAGTTGGCTTCATGCCTAAAATAGGAGTAGAAGTTATAGTCTCCAGCTTATAGTCTAGTGCCTTAACCACTAGACCAAACAGATTTCGTAGGTCTTTTTTTCCCACTCTGACTTCTTTTTAAAGGATATTCTGTTACAACACTTTTCATTGTAATTCACACTGAACACTGAACTAACCAGAATTCCACTTAAGCTACAATCCGAAACCTAAAAACATATTTTAAAATGTACAATAGTTCATTGTATGTTTTTATTTAGCAGATCACTTATTTTTTATGTCTTGGTTGTGGCTTAATGTAAATGGGGCTTACAGTAGTATTTGTTCCTACAGATCCATGACAAAAAAAAATAAATTAAGAAGTTGGTCCCAAAATTCCACTTTGGGCAAAATATCAGTATCCCAGGTCTGAAAACACTGAAGAATATTTCTTATGTCTTGCTGTTGTACAACAGTGTAATATTAAAATACTTTTCTTCCAATTTTCAGATGGTTTTCTGGCAGATTTTTGTTGCTCATCCACACAATTTGACAAGAGTGCTGATGACACACAGCTTCATGGAAGTGATCATCAAACTAGCAAATCTTTAACTTTTCCAAACCAGACTGCTAATACCCAAATGAGAGACAAGTCAAGCACAGCAGAGTCTTTAATGTGCAACAAACTTCATGTAGTGCCTAACAATATTGTGAGTCCACCACAAGAAAACACTTCTGTTAAAAAGGCAGATCTTGCAAAAGCTTTAACATTTGAGAAATGCTCTTCTGAAAGCTGCTCTCCTGAAAGCCAACATACGGCTCCTTCTGAACAAAAAATCGCTCTTAAGGGTCTTGACAAGTTGAATGAAAATTCTTTAGCTTCTAAAGATCATTCATCTAAAATCTTATCAAATGCAGATCGTGGTATGCATAATAAAACTTGTTGGAATACAGTTGATTCTCATTCAGAAACAGCATATAATCATTCCCTCCAAGATAAAACTCCTCGGAGTTCTCCAAAGAATGTGGATTTGCCACAAGACAACTGGAAAGTTTCTGGAAAACCCCAAAAGGATTTGCTTGTCAATAAGAGTTTAGAAACTACATTCAAAAATATATTAGAACTGAAAAAGACTGAAAGGCAGCCACAAAGTGAGGCAGCTGCTAGTGGCTCTCTACAGTTAGAGTATCCTAACTGTTCACATATTGCTCCGCAGGAAAACTGCCTGGAGAAGTTTATTCCAGACCACAGTGAAAGCATTGTAGAAACTGACTCTCTTTTAGAAGCTGCTGTAAATAGTATCTTAGAGTGTTAATAGTTACAGTACTGTGGACAAATCTCCCTTAGAAACAAATGTGAAAAGATACCACAAGTACAGCCTGACGTGTACTTTCTAAAGTAGGTTCTGTTCTTTGTTTGAGAGCAATACTCATTGTGGTTACAGTGAGGTATCCAGTAATGTAAAACCTTAAGAGAAAGCTGTTTGGTAAGGCCTATTCATTGGCTGTGATTGAATGTAATTCTCAACCATGTTCTTTACCATTTCAAGAATGATTCTCAGTGAGCCTTTCCCTTCCCTCTCTTTTTCCAATTCAATTGCACTGGTAAGATCAGAAGCTTTTGTTTCTATTTTAGACTATAGTTTAATGTGTTGCCTGAGGTTGAACCTATAATTAATAACTAAACCAGATTCATGAACTGTGATTGACAATTGTTGGCTTTTCAATAGCTACAATTAGGGTTGTATAATCCAGAGTTGGCAACATGACAAAACTGGTTAATAAAATATGGAACAGAAAATTCCCAACATCTTTATCATGATCTGTGGCTAAGTGTTACACTCTAACCACCGGATTACATTGTTGTATAAACAGTTTTAATGTTGTAGCTTAATGAAACATTAATTTACTAAACCCTACATAATGTAGTATACCGGTATTGACAATCACAGTTTAATAAGAGGTGTATTAAATACCGTCAATAATTTACATTTAATAAGGAAATTGTTCTCTATATCTCCTGTCAAGATTTAAATTTCTGTGGTTAAAAATTCTACAGTTTACCTCTTTGCAGAAATGTCTTTGTTAGGTTTACAAGAAATAGAGAAAAAATTGTAAACTGAGAAATTATAAGCAGAGTTTACAGAGCTTTATACTTCAAGTGCTATTCAGCTGCTCCATAAGCAGAAACCAATATAATTTAGAGGAATGACATTGTAGAGTTTAAGTTACAATGTGGTATGGAACAATAAACATAAAGTTTAGAAAAGCTAATAGATGGGAACTTTTAAAAAGAGGCTGTAAAGTAGTCATGCACATACCATACACATACACAAAAACACATTTTTGATTGACACATTGATTCTTCAGCAAAAGCTTTTGTATTTTATAATTGGATATAATCAACTAAATATTTCTGGTATAATGTTTTTCTAAACCAAGTATGACAAGCATTTTTACTTAAAAATTGTGTTGTTATAGTAGATGTTTATAGTTTAAGGAGTACTAGCCTTAATCTGAACAAATTAAAGAACAGTGTTATTTTGGTTGTTTCTGATTCTGATTGTTCAGAATGTTAATCCATTTGCAGCAGTGGTCATATTACCAAAACACATACAAACCAAAGTTAGATTTCTATACACTAACAAATTTACATGTAAAAGCATATATCTCATAATCTAGAGCCAAAAGAACCTCATGCGTGGTTTGCATTTGGCTGGTGATCATATTGATAATGTAAATTTCTTTATTATTTAAATCTACAAATTTCTCCTTTTAGGTTGCCAGGCTTAAGGAAAAAAGTATACAAGCTTTCTTTAATACTGTTTCATACAATTATGCCTGCTCAAAAGGACAGAGAACTGTGATTTATAAGACATTTTGTCTGCAGCTTCTCTTTACAGGAATATTTAAAATTTATTGAGGACTCTTTGATCCTGATCTGATGGGGATCTTTCTCTTCCATTCAGCTGTAAAGCCCCATGTAGTTTTGCTACGGAGCAATGATGAACTGGTTGTCAGTCAGATTGCCAGAATTGTTCAGAAAGAGTCATATTTTCCTTTTTTTATTCCAAATAATGTAATGCAAAACTGTATTCTGTTATATTATTCAACACAGAACACACTACCATCCTTGTATTGTGGCCATATTGCCATGGATTAATAAAATATCATTTAATTCAGCAAAAGAGTAACAACAGTTAATGTACAATCCACATATAATAGGAATAGAAACATGGAGTTTAGTTTTATTGCCTCCTTTTTTTTTAAAAAAAGTGTGATTTTAAAGTCACAGGCTTATGATTTTGTACACTTCATGGCAACCATAATTTAAATAACTATAATTTTCACAAATTTATTTTTTGCGAGGATGGCTTTAATTATTTCTTTTAAGTAATATAAAGAGAGTAGAAGGTGGTTTTCCCTCAAGGTTTTGTGAAGGAAACATAATTGAACTGTAACCATAATGAGGTAATTTGGAAAGCAGGGTGTATATTGCACCAGTCACATAAATTAGTTTAACTAGTATCTGATTGGAAATGTAAAACAAAAATATTCACATTTGTACAACTTCTTATTTTGGTTTTACCTGCTAGTGTAAAGTTCCCATTGTATGTACAGACTATTCTGAACCTAAATACCAAAATAAAGTGTATATGTTTTGAATCTTAGGTGAGAGTTTAATTTTAGATAACGTCTTAGCCAAGACATCTGAAATGCACTTCATCAATGTGGATTAAATCATACCTATATTTATCCCAGGATTTTGTGCTGGGAACCCACTGAACAAAGTTCAGCTGAATTAACCTGGGATAGCTAATGTATTTTATTTATTAAACTGAACTTGGTTTTAGAGTTCTGAATATTTTAAATGGTAATGCAGTAAAAATATTTTTGTTCATTGTAAAGAAACAAAGTGTGAATTTGTTATGCAGCCCATGGTCCTGAATCCAGTGAAGGCCATTTATTTGTGCTTACCTGCTTTGTAGATTTGGTCTCTTGACTACCTGATGTCTTTCCACATTGTCTAAACTTAAAACATTTTTAGCTGGCAACTATAAAAAAAATCTGATTCAACAAGGTCAGCATAACTGATCTGTTAGATTTGGGAGGCCTTACAGACTGACTTTACCGAAAGAGGATGTGTCACTTTTTGTCAATGTAATATGAACTTCATTTGCTTAAAAACTTTCATTTGTATAGTATGTCTCACTTGAAATTGCTTTGTATACATTTTGTAAAAATATTTATAAAATGTTTTGTAAAAAATATAACAAATTGCAGTTTATTTTGTTATGTTGGATAAATACTGTTAAAATACACATATTGGTAAAAATATATTGTTAACCCATGAATAGGAAATGTTTAGCTGGATACTACAAATTGAAACAACCATTGCAATACAGCCAAAGATTTGGGAAAAATCATTATCTGTGATTGTCTTGATTTAACCAAGATAAATAATTAGGCTTTGAAGGGGTTTCTTTTTTATTTTACATAGTCTAAAAATATTTTTGTTACATTTATGTTCAACCTTTCTTCCAAGATTGCACCAAAGGCAAGTACACAGGATTTTGAAATGGTATCCTGTTTAGGCACTGGTGAGGCCAAGAACTGCATAGCTGTATGAAGATTATATTAGATTATTTTTTACAAAAAGCTATCTTCTTTATATGTCAAATGTGAACATGGGAACTGTGTATCTACCCACTGCTGAAAGCTCTATGCCAATATGCTAATGCTACATTAACTGATTATATAGTAATCTGCTCTTCAATAATTTTAAAAGATGTGTGTATTTTAGGCCAAATATTTTATTATATAAAACTTAATTTGTTTTATACATGTCAGTGCTAATTTATAGAATCATAGGGTTGGAAAGGAACTTGGAAGGCCTTCTAGTTCAACTCCTGCCCAGAGCAGGATCTTCATACCATCTTGAATAAATGGTTGTCCAATTGTTTCTTGAAAACCTCCAGAATTAACCTCAATAGCTGGGGTACATAAATGATTAATTTATGCATTGCATGAAAGCAAATTTTACATATTAGAAAAAAATCCAGATGACCATTCCTTTTTTAAAAAGAAATTTGACATTGGTTACATATTTTCACTTATCTGCTCTTACAGAGAGGTATTCCTCTATTCTCAGGGATAAAAAGAGGATCTCGAAGAATATAAACATGCCCTAGTATCAACATGGATCTTATAATAACACACACACACACACACACACACACACACACACACACACGACTGAGATAGAGATTGATGGATGAGTTTCTCCTGAAACGTCTCTTCAGAATTACAGTTGAGGATCAGAGGATTTCTTCAGAGCAATTTTAGGATACCTGAGGGGCTGCAAGATGGAGGAAGGGGAAGTAAAATTCCTATTGGGGGGGAACATACTCCCTTGTGAATTGTTGGATGGAGCAGGATCAGAAAAGAGATTTCTTTTTTCTAAATATTTACTTAAAATACTAGATATGTTTATAGCCTTGAGTTGTTTATAACAATAAAACTTGAGTTGTTTATAAAAATAATAAAAGTGGAATACAAATAAGTATACTGTCAAATAGTATTTCCTAACTAGTATTCAGAACTTAAACTTATTATACCTCTTATCTACGTATTAAGGAATATTTATTTGATCAAGTTTGATCAAATGATTGAAATATACATATAGCAGGTATCTGATATGCTTTAAGGTGTATGGGAATGCTAAATGGGTGCGCATGAATCAAGGAATATTTCAATTCCAAAACAAATTCACATCCTGGAAGTTCTGCTGTATTGTTTCTGATAGGCTATGACTCAGTAGAAACAAACCAAAATAAAATTTGGAGGTATTACAGAGAGATTTTCAGGGTGAGCAGAGCAAAGCACATTGGTTCCTCTGTCTACTCTGCATGTCCATTACTGCCATGTTTTCACTAGCTTCAAGTGCAGCATGTAACACCTGCCTGACACCACAACAGCTATGCAAGGAGCCAGTTCCTCCCTTTCAAATCTTTCATTGCTCTTCAAGCACCATTTAATTATAGACACACATCATCCCAAATATTACCTTTTTCCCCACCCCCAAATTCTTATTTCATATCCAGAATAAATAATTGTGTTTTGTTCAAATAATACCAAAATATTTGAAATGCATGTACCGTATTTTTTGAATTATAGGACACACTTTTTTCCCTCCTAAAAGGAGGTGAAAATTTGGGTGCGTCTTATACTCTGTAGCCCCACACACCAGCTCCACCCCATCCACTGGCCCCCACCCTTCAGTCTCCGCATGTCCTCTTCCTGTCTGCAGAGATTGCAGCCAGGAATCTGAGCGTCGTGTTTTCAGCCTCCAAATGTTCTGTTTGAGAGCCCTTCAAGGCTGCGGGGATCGCCAAAGCACATCACTGCGGATCGCTTCCCGAAAACGCGATGTGTTTGGAGGCTGAAAACGCAACCAACGGTGCCCAAAATGGCTACCTGGAACAACTGCTGCCTTCTTTTACTCCTTCCGCGCTTCGCCTGCTTTAGTCACTGGCCAGGAGTCACTTCAACTCTTGGAATTCCCACCTAATTATATAAAATCTCATATTCCTAAACACATGTAATCTGCCTGTATTTTTATAAGCCATATCAATAGATAGATTTAAACTGTAGAGAGAGGTAGTTTACTATTATTCTGTTTTACCCAGAGACCTGGTTTTACCAGGACAGTCATTACCGAACTGTTTGTTGATTTTTTTCCACACTATATATAAACCTGTCTTAATACAATGTTTCTCCATGTTTCCTTGAAATTACAATTGTTACTTCATGCAGCATCTCTACCGAATGATCATTGTAATATTTGAGATTTTCCTTCTCCTTTGGTCTCTAATGTGCAGAAGAAAAATTCAAATCAACCAACTTTATTTCTTTCGGGAAGACTGAAAAGGGATGACAGAAGTTTGTAGAAGTCTACAACTTTTCACTGCCTACAAACTTTTGAGCATTAGGATCTTTTATAAAGGCATGGCCATGAAATAACCAGAAATCAACTGATTTTGTGCAATGACTTCCCTATCACTCAATACAATTTTTCTTTTCGTAACTCTCTGCTGCCACCACCTGGTAAATGATAGGCAGAACACAACAGTCAGCTAATATTCAGGAAATAGTAAATCTATATTAGAAACTACTACCATAATAGTCTGATCCACTATAAATCTGCCAAGTTCCTTTTTAAAGGCATCCTATCTGGCAGCTATTAGCACAGTGGCTTGCAGTGAATTCCATCATTTAGTTTTACTCTTGAGTAGATAAGTATTTCCTTCAGCTTATTTTAAAACATTAATGTTTGGGTACAGAGCATTATCATAATTTTCTGTTTATAAGAATAGCAAAAGAGGTCTGCTAAGGAAGCAACTGAAATCAATAGGCTTAATATTCATCAGTTGCAGAGATTGTTTATTCATCTTTACTAGTCTGCAAATTTGTATATTTACCTTTTTAAAATAATATTCATAAAATATTATGAATAATATAGGTCTTTCATATGTGTATAATTCTTCTGATTTCCAAGATCTGCTTTCAGGCACGAATTAACAGGTGCACACATGCAGATTTCAAACTAACTATTTTATTATGTTCTGTCAGTATACAGGAATCTTCCCAGTCTGACAGTTGACTCTTGGGAACAATTTGTAGCGCTACCCCCGGAAGGGCTGCTGGAGTCCGGGTTCTCCTGGCCCTCTTGGTATGGCTACCGGTCTACACTGGTCCCTCACTGAGGCACTTCTACTGGCCTGGGTCATGTAGTGTCATGGTGATCAGTCTCCTCTCAGCAGGCAGGTCATGTGGTGGAGTGATTGTCAGTCTTTTCCCAGCCGGCAGGTCACTTGATGAGATAGTATTCATGTGGCTGGTCAGCCCTTCTTCCTTTCTCTCTCTCTCCTTTCTGCCTTTCTTGAATTGCCTGCTGAGCTCTCCTTCCACCACCTCTGCTTCTTTGTGGATTTCTCTGCTTGCCCCACAGAAGCCTTTCCTCTCCTATCTCCTTCTCTCCCTCAGGCTTGCCCCACAAAAGCCTCTCCTATCCTCCCTATTGCCTTCACTCCCTCTCTCTTTCCCAAGCCTTTTTCTCCATTTCCCCCTTAAGTAAGGTGACCAGATTTTAACATTGGTAAAGAGGGACATTGTGGGCGTGGCTTATTTTGTGGGCGTGGATATCTGGTCATGTGACTGGGTGGGCGTGGCTAGCTGGTCATGTGACTGGGTGGGCGTGGCTAGCTGGTCATGTGACCGGGTGGCCATGGCTATGTGTATAGGGTAAGGTGAACAGATTTTAACATTGGTAAGAAGGACACCATTGCGGGCGTGACTTATTGTGTGGGCGTGGCTTGGAGGCCATGTGACTGGGTGGGCGTGGCTAGCTGGTCATGTGACCGGGTGGCCATGGCTATGTGTATAGGGACTACTCAGAGGGCTGAAAAGTCATTTCTGACAGGTCCTCGCACTTTTGACTGGTCCTCACACTTATGACCATCCTCATATTTATGCCCATGCAGCATTCTTAACAACCATGTCACTCATTTCACAACTGCTTCTCTTCACCATGATGACAAGATAGGGCAAAAATGTAAAATGTGAGGACAGTCGTAAGTTTGAGGACTGGTCAAAAGTGTGAGGACCAGTCAAAAATAACTTTTTCAGCCCTCTGAGTAGTCCATATGCACAAAAGGACTAACCAGAGGGCTGAAAAAAGTCATTTCTGACAGGTCCTCGCACTTTTGACTGGTCCTCACACTTATGACCATCCTCACATTTATGCCCGTGCAGCATTCTTAACAACCATGTCACTCATTTCACAACTGCTTCTCTTCACCATGATGACAAGATAGGGCAAAAATGTAAAATGTGAGGACAGTCATAAGTTCGAGGACTGGTCAAAAGTGTGAGGACCAGTCAAAAATAACTTTTTCAGCCCTCTGAGTAGTCCATATGCATTAAAGGATACAGCAATAGAGAGGGATGAAGGAATGGAAATTAGAGTAGGAGTGAGGGTAAGAGAGGGAGGAAGAGAGGAGGAGAAGGAGAAAGGAAGAGGAAGTAGGGAGGAGAAAAAGAGGGTGGGGGGAAGAGAAAGTAAGAAGGAAAGAAAAGAGAGTGGTGGTAGGTTTGAGGAGAAAGATTGCTGTACAATAAAAAAGATGAAAGGGAAGAAAGCCAACCCCAAGCAAATATAAAGATATTAAGATTAAGAATGAATTGTTAAACTTTAAAGAATAAAAGAGAACAAATATGAATAAATAGCAATAATTAGAAACACACATACAAACATACAATGTATTTTCTTTGAACAGAATATTTGGCTGGTTCACAAATTTAAACAGTGTTTAGTCATTTCAATTAAATTTACAATTTCTATATTTCCTTTTTGCCATATTTATTC